GGACTGGAAACATCAAAGATCGGAATCGACGCTCGATGTTGATTGACATTGTTCCGAGTTGAACTCAGTCTTTGCACTTGTGTGTCCAAGGATAATATTGCAGGCGATGAATTATGGTGCAGATGGGACGTTAATCGACGTGTTTGTACGAAAAAATGTGCTAAAGTTTCTTGCCATCCGTGACATTTCGCATACAAATGACAGGCATTTTCATGGCTAAGGAAAAAGGCCATCAACTACAAAGAATTTCAAATGAATTTTGCAAAAGACTGTCATGAATTACTTTTCGCATGGAAATAAATCGAACATTTATCGATCCTGCACTACAAAGTGTTAAAACAACATTCAAATGGTGCACTGTGGCTGCAGAATCTAAAACAAATTGTTCAGATCGATTGATAGACTAGTGCGCAGAGAAATCTCACTTGAAGCTATGATTAAATCAAGAATTTCCTCGACAATAAGTTCATTAAACATATCAATTGCAATCCCTGAGATGATTCCACCGAAACCGATATGATTCGTTTCTAATCTTAATTGCGCTCGTGCCGATTGGGATATTCGTTGTGACTCGAGACAAGTTTTGAGAATTCGAAGGACAAGTTCTTTAGTTCTACTTGTTAAATTATTCGAAGTTAAAAGTGCGTAGAGCTCTTCGGCCATGTTTGGTTCGCATAATTGTTCAATAATTGCTTCATTTGGCAAATGAGTTAACGAACCGGACAGAAATTCAAGTAATTCAGAAGTTAATTCATCGTTGGAATTTGATAGAACTGAGATTGTGGAAAGGAAAATGTTGAGGGTTTTCGAGGAGATTTGATTTTGAAAAAGATATCGAAGAATTTCGTAGATGACTTCGCGTAATTCGGTTTCGTCTTTCGTGCCACTGAAATCAAGATTTATGAAGACTAGATTGCAAAAAAGAAAGTTTTCTTACTTGAAATGTTGGCGAAGAATGTCTAAAAAGAATTGAATGTTGAATTTGTCTCGGTCGATTTGATTTTCTTCGCGAAGAATTTTGAAAATATATTGTAAATGTAATAACCGAACATAGAAATTCGATTTTTTCCAGAGATTAAAATCCAGAAGAACATATTCAATCAGTTGATTAATTATCAATCGTGATGAACTCATCATTCGAGTCGATTCGATCAATTCTTCGATGGAAATTAGAAACTGTTGATCCAGAAATACCGGCGAGAGTTTTTCCAAATAATGCGCAAGAATTTCCACGTTATAATGCTTAGTCATTTGTTCAGTCAAGTTGACCATCGATTTCGATGATAAAACACACCGAATTAGATGAATTATTGACGCAATTGGATTCGAATAGAAATGATGATGAGGTGTTAATTGATATCCATTCGAGGAGAAAGATTCATCGGACTTGTGATAATCAGTTTCTTGGAATAATTCAATCAATGGATAAAGTATTGAGCAACCACCTAAGGTGAAAAGAGATTGAGCGAAGGAATAAAGACGGAGGCATGAACCATTGATGAGTCGACCATGAAGTGAAGAACAACCGGATATGTCAAGGCAAATTTGATTGTTACATGCTAAAGGATGATAGAGTAACAATGACCGAGCACAAAACGAATCAAAAATTGTTGACGGATGAGAATTTTCACCGTTCATTGATGAAGAATGAGATAAATGATTACCTATAAGTAAAAAAAAAGAGAATGTGACTTAGATAAATTGACGAGTAAGTACCCATTTCGTGAAGAGATTTCACTTGTTGTTCATCTAATGTCTCAGCTAAGATCCAAATACAAGCGAATTGCCCGTATAAACATGTTGAGTGGCCAAAGATTGTGTCTTGAGTATCCGCATCGATGATCATCACATTTTGTGAGTAAAAATCTTGATTTTCCCTTCTTGGCATCGGTGTTCGACTTTTCGAAGAGAATAATCCTTTTAATGGCTGGATACTCTTCGCCAATGTTGTCGATAAGGAATCATTTCGTTGCTTCAGTTCCGACGATTTCGGACGGTGACTTGCCGAACCAATCGACGCTAAATTTATCGGCTCATTCAGCATCAAAACATATTTAAAATTTTTGATTTCCTTTCGTAATAAACCATCGATATACACCGACAATTGGCATGTTAATGCTGATTGAAAAGCTGAACCGAACAGTGAAGGTCGTTGAGCAGCATGAACAATAGTTAATGAATGCCAAAACCCATCGATTAGATCATCACAATCCTGGATTTCGATGTAGGCGATCTCACGTCGATCACTGATCAAAACAAATATCGAAGAGCTGCGTAGAAACGATTCGAAACCAATAGAATTCGAGTAGAAGGAGTAAATCTGTCGACGGCCTTCGTATGGATACGAATTGATTTCGTGGTTAGGTCGGATCCAACAGTGAAATGTAAAATGTTGGCCCGTAGTCGATGAACTTGTTGAGGAGGATATGGATGGCCAACGTTGAATTGCGGGTAAAACAATTCCCTTGAAAAGGAGGAGACTTTCGAATAAGAATAAAACAAAAGATTTGCTTACGCTATTTGGTCGTTGTAAATCGAAATAGGATGAAATCAGCTGTGTATCGGGATCATCATGTTTAGCTGAGATGATTAACAATTGTAGTAGTTCTTTTTTTAAACCGATATTTTCACTGAGTAATTGGCTAATTAATCGAATGTCTTGCGGATTTATCGAAAATCGTGCTAAGTTATTCAATAATGAAAATACTGCAGACAGAATTTTCTCGTCGATCTCATTTGACTTCCTCAATATCCGAAGTAAACTCGAAATAACTCCATTTGCACACGCCATCATCTTGTTCTGCAATGAACGTGAGATAATTTGATCGACCGACGAAATAATCAACTGTTGAGACGAAGAATTTTCCAGATAAGGAATCCATTCGATCAACGAACGAACGAGATGTGGGTTATTAAAGACTAAATATGAATCGAAGGAGATTGTTGATACATCTTCAGGTTTTTCGATGACAAGAAGAATTAATTGATTGAGAAATTCATTAGTTGGTGAATGAATATGGCAGAGAGATTGAAAATATTTGTCATAACCATTGAATTCGAGGAATTTTTCTTGGACATTTTCCGAATCTTTGAGAAGTTCGATGACAAATTCGAAAATGACTTGAAGATGAGTTTCATTTGTGTTTAACTTTTCATAAACACTTTCTAAGCATTTTCCTTTAAGAAATTCGATTTTCAACGCAGCGCGATCTTCATAATCGTGTAATAATTTCGTTAAAACTTCAAAAATATTCGTTTGTTCAACTTGAATTGACTGGAAAAGTTCGGTTAAATAATCCGTTAAATCGATCGGACGTTGATCAATACTCGTCTGATGAACTTTTCGTATGGTATCGATGATTTGTTTGAGATTACTTTCGTTAATTAACATCGTTGACATAAACCTTTCTTTCCAATGCGCACAAGCGCAGGAAATTCAACCGCAGTTCAGATATCACAGATCTAAAAATCTAAGGATGAACAAATTCAATGATGTTTTCGTGTGACTTGACAAAACAAAGAAAAATGTTTATTAGTTAGCATTGTCTTAGCTCGTATTCAGTATGAAGTCTTCCTTTGATAAGTGAGAATACAGAAAAATGTATTTAAGAATTTCATCTATGTAAAACCAATGACATAAAACTGATTGTTATCTAAAAGAGGCAAAGTTTCTTTTGTTTATCTATCTATTAAAGATGACGATGATGATGTATTTCAAACAAACGAAGAAGCAATCATTCACATATATAAGGAAGCAAAAAAAAAGTGATAAGTACCGGAAGACAAATGAGAGAAAGCAAATAGATATGCTTAATGGTTCATACGATCTGCATTCTCAACTATCCGACATAGAAAAGCTGCACAAAAGTAAAGACGAGATGTTGTTTTTCCTTTGATTTTTCCTCCATGAGAGATTCTGGAATGAACAACATTGAAATATGTGTAATATATCTTTCTCTAAGATGATAATATATAAAAGTAGAAATAAAGATAAACAAACGACAAAATGAAAAATATCTGTATGTGTTATCATGTGAAGATTTTCATGCGGAAAATAAGTAATGAAGATGATCTTTATCACAGAATGATACACACATAGAGATTAGAGGGGAGAAAACAGATTTGTTATTCTTTGAATTTGTACGAATAAACAAATAAAGAATACGAGAAGTGAACAAGTAGATGTTAAACATGTTGATGAACTGTACGTTGGATCGTAATAACGTGCGGATTGATCTTCTAAAATCAAACAAGAATTTGAAATTCTTTTCTTATTTCAAAGATCAATATTTACTTAATATTCTATATGAACTATATGCGTAAGTAGTTCCTTTCGAGCATGAATAATCTATTTTGTGAAGTGTTTCATTTAGTATTGTATGATTAATATGAACAAGTAGAAGTGATGCATTACATACATCAACTCGAACATTTTCTCGATTGATTCGACAACCATCACTACCATCATCAAACATTAAGAAAATGCCGGATGGTTTAACATTATCGGTTTTCACGGATAGATAAACATTATCGAATTTCGATGATGCTAATGGAGATTTTGAGATTGGCTGGGAGATCTGACAGCGAACTTGAATATTTTCCGTGGAGACTCCAGAATTGGGATAAACGGAGAGTTCAATCGTTGGACGATTGGGTGAATCGAATTTCGAGGAGACCACATGAATCACAGAGAAGATCAAACAAACTAAATTTGGAAAATAATCGATAGATTTATTCAACTGAATGTAATTCGTAATCAAACAGATAAAAGAATTGTTTATATCCTTTTTCTCATCAAAGATAATTTCATTTGAAATAATCGCACGTTCCATGTCCAATAAAATGCAAATATTTCCAATGCTATAACTCACATATTTTCATTCCATTGCTCTACGTGACTCTTCCGTTATGATTCGATGTTTATCGTTAAGCTTTTCTTTGGAGAATTTGATACAACAATCGAATGATTAATCCCAAGTTAAGAGTTCTTATTTTATTTCATGTCTACGTCGATAATCTCGACTTACCNAGCGGGTTTGTTACGTAAATATGAACAAGACAATGGACATTCGACGCAACAGCTTCGACACGAGTTAATTTCCACAGAGAAAGTCACGATCGAACAAAGACAATATTATGAACAACAAATCGATCAACTTCAACGAGAAAAGAACGAATTGAAGAAAGAATTGGACACGCTCAGAGATGTTTTGAAAGAATTGCATGAACAATCGAGTAGGAGATTAGTATTCAGAAGAAATTTGATTCAAAAGAAATTGCTTTTAGGTAAACAAGAGGCATTGAGTAATGATCGATTACATACTTTGAAATTAAAAGAAGATTTATTGACGAAAGAAAATGAATTATTTCAATGTCAATCGAAAGTTGCGGAATTGCAAAAAGAATTGGAACAAACTCGAGAAGAAGTGAATAAACACGTCCGATCGTTTGACTCGAAATCGAAACTTTCGTTCTAGATGAACACTTTACAAGAAACAGTGCATAAAGAATGTACCGAACGTGAAGAATTAAAAGAAGCGTTAATTGAAGCACGTCAACAACTACTAACTTTCAAAAAGAACGGTACAAATAGTCAATATGAAGACATTGTCATGTCATTTTCTTTGTTATCTAGGAGTTCTCAACGGAACAGCAGCTCGATCTCTTCATTCTCCACCGGTAGCTTTTGAAGAAATCGAACGACGTGTCATTGCACCTCTTCCACTTCCTCATGCATCGACTCAACAATTAGGATCTGTACTTCATCATAAAAATTCTTCATTTATTCAATCAGAGCCACCTTCGCGAGATAACAGTGTGCAGGGTGATGCAGCCGATATGATGGCTCGACCATTATCATCAGCGCATCAGGTTCCGTATCGCCATAAAACATTGCCACCAATTCATCCTCAACCACAGCAACAACGTCGGAATGGAAGTGTTCCATCATCGAATAAATCCGATCAATTGTTGGAGAATCAACGACGTATCGCGCGGTTTATTAAGAATCTTAAATAAGATTTCGAGCTTAATTTGTGATAAATTATCGAGCTTTTTCTTTTGATCAGATGTGTGGAAGCTTACAAATCTTAACGGTTAATAATGTTTTTCAGAAATTGATGTTGTATGCTCATCGTTTATCCTCAAACCTAAGTCGCTGTGAAATATTGTAATTTGTGTTTGGCATTGTTGAAATAAATCGTTTCTCAATGGATTCAACTTTTCAACAGTGAGGTCATATTCACGACAAAAATTAATCGAATAAGTGAGAAGATGAAATCATTCTTGATTGGTTACGTAACTCGAATATCCACCTGACTGCGGACTGTAGTATTTATTACAAATATCGAGTGGCTTTTTGAGGTTGTTAACCGAATAAAGATGGAAATCGTATGTTTTAGAGGTACTCTCTTCATTGAAATCAAACGCTAGTTTTCTCAAAAGTCTTAAACTTGATCTCTGCTGCATAAATCCTGTTAGAATCAATACCCACGACGGATTGTCCGCACACCCTTTTGATTATCTCTGTTATAAAATAACCTTTTTCAATAAAGTCGATAAGACATCATGTCGATTGACATTTTCATCTTATGATAATGATTATTATTCAAACTTTCAATTGGTGAAGGTCTGTATTACGATGGTGTCTTCATTGGATCGAGCTATTTTGAAAGCATATTGGCGTTTACTGCCAATCTTATTTCTATCGTATATTATCGCTTATGTGGATCGGAATAATGTTTCATTAGCTAAACTGAAAATGACTGATGACCTGCCATCGTTTCGAAATGGAACTGAAACGATATTCTCATTCGGTCAGGCAGCGTTTTTTATCGGTTATTTACTTTTAGAAATTCCTGGCACGTTGCTTGTAGAACAATGGAGTGCACGAAAATGGATATGTCGTATAATGATCACTTGGGGTATCTTGGCATCGTTAACAGCGGTTGTGAAACAACCGTGGCATTTTTATTTACTTCGATTTGCATTAGGACTTGCAGAGGCTGGTTTCTTTCCAGGGGTTATTGTTTATTTGACACATTGGTTTCCGGGAAAAGCGAGAGCACGAGCACTTTCTCTATTTCTTATTGCCACACCAATTGCCCAATTGATTAGTCCGAAAATTTCGTATTACATGCTTCGGATGGGCACAACAGAACATGGTGTTTATTATCAGACATTATTTCGACTCAGAGGTTGGCAATGGATGTACATTGCATGGGGTATACCGTCAGTTATTCTCGGTATTATTATCCTATTCTTTCTTACTGATCGACCGAAAGATGCCCGATGGTTAGAGTATGACGAACGACAAGCATTAGAAGCCGAACTATCACTAGAATTGCAGCGACAGCAGGCCGCTGGTGGACATCTGACTATCTTCCAAGCTTTACGTCAGATCAAAGTTCTTCTTCTCGCTGCCGCTTATTTTTTTATAGTTACAGGAAATTATGGTATTGATATGTTTCTTCCGACAATTCTACGTGATTGGTATCATTTAAGTGATTCCTTTTTAACATGGTTACTAATGATTCCACCACTTGGTGCTCTTCTCGGAATGTTAATCATTGGATTTAGCTCTGATCGAACGAAAGAACGACGTTTCCATGCTGCTGTACCGATCCTTATCGGAGCAACTGCGTTCGGCTTAACACTGATTCGAAATCAGCCATTAGCGACTATTATTATACTCTTTACTGCAGTAAACATTGGCACAAAAGCTTATCTGCCAGCATTCTGGTCTTTACCAAGTTTATTTTTAAGTCAAGCAGCAGCCGCCGGTTCAATTGGATTTATAAATTCCATTGGAAACATCGGCGGAGGAGTCGGGCCGATCATTTTAGGTGTTTTAAAAGATCGCACTGGCTCGTTCTCTCTCGGTATTCTGCTTCTTTCGATTTCTATGGGTTTGACAGCTGTTATTATCATGGTTCTTCGATTTAATCAACGTCATAAAAAATTTACAGTTCATGATTTCGACGAGGATTCACCCGCAACTAGTGGAGACATCGAAAACACTCAACTTTAGAAGAATAAAACATTAGTTTTCGTGAATAAATAACTTTTTCGTATCACTGTGTATTTTTATTGATTGAGAATTAAAATAAACTTTTTTTTCATTGTTCACAATTTGTTGAACCACTGTGTATATTGAAAAACGTGACGTGCAAAGAAGCTTCAGAACAATAAGAAGAGATAAACCGGACGTAGAATGAAAGAGATAAATAACTATCACAAAACAGACATTTGAAAATAAAGAAGTGAGTCGGAATAGCGTGAAAATAAAAGAGAAAATGCACGGAAATGAGAATTTCCAGACAAAATCAAATGAAACCGTACAAAATCTGACCAAAACGATAAAAATACAATCTTTTCTTTTGTTTACGCTTTCTGCTGACGTTTCTCGGATGTTAAAACAAACAACTTCCCATCTTTCACAGAAACTAGCAGATGACTCTGATCTTTTGTTAAATAAAGACATGTAATTTGTGTTCGAAGGCGAATAGTTTGAATTGTCGTCATTCTAAACAGTTCAATTGAACATCAATTTGATTTGTCAAAATTTTCTTACTCAAACAAATCTTTAATAATAATCCTTGCCATACCAGACGTTGGATCATTCTTTTGATGGTTCACCGCCAAAACGATATACTGATCACTTAAAATCATATCAATTACTTGATATTCAAATTTTCTTGTTCGAATTAAATGTCCATTGATCGAATATAAAAACAAGTATGTATCATTCTTTTCTGTTTGAACGAGAATGTGTCGCTCATCGGATAATTTCAAATTCACAATTGGATCGTTCTCCTCTGTCGGTCGTAGTGTTCGAACGTAAGTTCCATGTTCAAGGGTATGAATATTACAAGTACCATCTAATGAACCCGAAACAACAAGATCCAACTCTGATGAAACAGCAAGACATGTCACTTCTGCCGAATGACCGTAAAGAATTCTTTCCGGAGTGAGAAATGACGTTGGTTCTTGATCATGAACATGTCGGTTGTCGTTGAATGATAAGTACCAGACTATACAAGTTGTATCACGTGAACCCGTGATGAGAATATAACCTGTGGAGTCTAATGTTAAACACGTAATGATGTCGGTGTGACGAGTAATCGAATGAATAGATTTCGTTTTTGAGATGGAGTATGTGCGTAAAGATCGATCCCAATGCGCACCACTGAAGATGTATTTTGCGTCGTGAGAGACAGCGAACAGACGAGAGGTAATGTCGATTGATAAGGCAAATGGTGCAATAGTAGTTAATCGATTTCTAAAGAGAAGAAATTGTGCGAAAATAAGTTGAAAGGCGAGGTTGACGTACTTTTGTGTTTGTAATGTTGGATCTCGATCGAATGTAAAGAAATTATTCGATGTTTTGTCATACGGATGCCATCCTATTCGAAAACAAAGAGACAGATTTTTAACACGAAATAAATTCGACTAACAAACCATTATTTCCAATAACACCTTGGTTGTTAATACTGATTAAAACGTCAGGTATTCCTTGATTGATAAACGACCGTGTTTGATTTTTAGGTATTGAAATAAATATAATCGGTGCGGACTGTTTTGCATTTTCAGGAACTACTTCCACAAAAAATGCTTTGACCGTCGTTAAATTTTGAAACATATTCAATCCTCGCCCTTGTGCTTCCATTTGATTAGTTACTTGCTCACGTGTTTGCCGTTGCGGATGTGGTTCCGTCAACAATTGTGACGGACTTTGTCCGAAGTTTTCGATCATCCCATCAATAGCTTCACGCGCGATGTTATCATCAATAACGTCAGCGTCCATCGGTCGTTCATATGAACAGTACATGTAAACATTGAGTGCATCGATTGCTGCTTGTCCTGTTTGTTTATAACCAAAGATAAGATCGATCCATTTGTGAAGATGAGCGGATACGTAATCAGATTCGAGTGCTAAACGATGTAAACGAATAAATTCTTCGGGAGAATCATGCGCCCATGGAGGTAATTGAACATCGTTCAGTAGTTGATTATTTGATTGAAGTTTTCCTAAGTCGAATTTATTCAAATTGCAGAGAAATTCAGGTAAATAGAAGAATTCTGGTATTAGCTCTTTGCCATCGTTTGGCGAATCCATGATATTCGACCATGAAGATTGAAATGAATGAAATTGTCGATCGGCAATATCAAATCTAACGAGAAAAATTACTCATATTCATTTGTCACGAAAATTTTCTCTTTACTTTCCACTTTGCAATTGAATATGCAAAGTTGTGAATGGTTCCATACGAATCAAATAATGCATAACACTTGCAGCATTGGAATAATGCGTACCATAGTGAAATTTCTTTATTAAACCCGATGGATCTTCGAACGATTCATATCTAATCGGAAAACAATAATGGTATTTCCTTGACAAAGGGAACTTACTTCGATTTGACCTCTTCGATATGTTTAGGATTTTGAATTCCGACTGGTTTTGAAAAATCTCGGAAAACATCGGGATTCTTCAAATCCAAGACTTGCGAAGTGAAATCCTTAATAATCCAAGGGAAAACTGGATATTGATTGAGATCGTTGTATGTTCGACCGGCGATTGTGTTTAACATCATCAAGTAATCGAAATTGGACAGTTCACGTGACATCCATTTGTCGAGGATTTTCGATTCTCTGAAAATTTCTTGCGGAGTCAGAGAATTCGGTGAAAGATTTTTCATTGATGGTAATTTTAATGAGATAAATTTATTAACTACTTGTCGGCGAAGTTTTGAATTCAAATTTAAAAGAAAATTCGTTTGATTTATCAGAAAGAACTCTAAAGCTGTTGGACGTAAGTTGTATCGACGTAATTGAATATCTTGCAGCCATATCAATGGATATTTTAGATCATTTTCACAGCGTTTCCTTGGATTGGAATCGATAAAGTAAAGATATCGATCAGTCACAAGAAATTCTCCATGAGTTTTTGCTGTTGGAGTGATTAACGAACATTTCACACCCAGAATCCTATATAAACATACAGAGAATGTTTACTAAACGAAACAACTTACGGTTTTTCTTTGACTTCCACCAGAAATGCTTGACTTTGCGCGGAAATATTCATAAAATCATGTTCATCATGATGATGCATTGTTTCACTTTTGCTCATTAGGTTGTCTTGTTCAAGAAAAGTAGTCGTTTCCACATTTAAATTGTCTCTCAATCGACTGGATTCTTCATGTAGATTAAATCGATCATTTTCAATCAGTTTACATTTCATTCGATGAATATTTTCTCGATTGGATAACATCCATCGACGTTCAGCAAGGTTTTCACTGTTCAACCATAAACCTCGTTCACCATACCAATATTTTTTTCGATCTTTCCATTCCTTGTTTACATGAATCGTATGAACACGTTCTCGTTCACTTAATCTTGAAATACGTTGTTCATCTGACCGAGCACGCTTATGCCATGGATCAACAATATGAGTCTAAAAGATAAATATTGAGTTCTCAAAGAGAAGAAAAGATTTCTTACTTGAAATTTTAATTTTTCAACACCGATTTGTCGATTACGTTTGTGGATACTGATATTGATCATTTCTTGACAATTATTCCACCAAATTTTCATATTCATTTGAAATGGTCTTACGGACATTGAACAATAATGATCCGCATAAGGTTCAGTTATTTGTTTCACAAATTTGCGCCACTCATCGCGATTGATAGACGAGATAAATTGACGAAAATCGTCGTTTGTCGCTAAAATTTCTCGACATAACGGAATGTTCGACAGAGCCGCATTCATTTGTAACAAATCGAAAGATTTTTCCAAAATAATCTTCATTAACGGTAGAATCTGATTGTAATGCTCGGAATGTTCAATATTCGGAATAGAAAGAAAAATTTGATTGATTTTCGATAAAAGATACGCTGCTTCCTCTCGATCATTCAATGAACGATAATTCAATAACAAATGAATACGGTTCGATGCTTGACTACAGAAATTTATGTTTGAATGAGCGAGAAGTATGAGAAGAATGTTCATTGCACTAATGGATGTTTCGGAATAATGATCATCAGGAGAAATATTTGGAGTGGAGAATTGAGCAGAAGGATCAGCGATTTTCAAAATTAACAATGTATCGAAGATGGTGATGATACCTGGAAAAAAAACTCAAAAGATAAGATTTCGTTAAGGTACGAAATTACCGTTGACAAGATTGTCAGTGATTCGATCAGTATTGTCCGTGGATTGAGAAAGAAAATCATTGATAAGTTTGATTAATTCACGAATATTACTTTCAGAAACTGATATTTGTGGTTTTCCTGAAATAGATCGAAGAAAATCGATTGATTAATTCAATCAACTCAAGAAATCATTCGACATCAAGGAAGTAGTTACAACGGAAAGATGTCTTCTTCAATGAATAACTTACGCGAAGCATTTGAACTCAAACGTCGTCGCAAAGTGCGGTCCTGTCCTATGGCTGTCATTGACGAACGTGTAAAAAGCATGAACATTCTCAATTCCATACCTTTTTCTGATTTCATTTCGTTTAAACATGTTTCCATACTCAATTCCAGAATGCGTCGTTCGATATATTCTAACGAAATGTATAGATCGTATTCACGTTGGAGATGTCGAAGAGCAGAAAACATCTGACCACGATTCTTAAACAAAATCGATAAATTTTTACTAGATCAACAATGAAAAACTTTAACAAACCATCCACGCAGCATCATCGTGACCGACGATTCCTTTCCACAGAATCATAACAATGGCTAAGATTAGAGTTTCACACATTTCTTCGAGAAGGTCACCATCAGTTTGATCATCAGACGCTCGAATATGCGATCTCAGATTATCAACACTCTTTCCTCCTCAAAAATAAAATAATCTCACATAAGTTTCTCATTTTTTGATTTCATACTTGAATCATCGGGACCGCCGATCATTCCATTGAGCTCCTCGTTGGAATTTTCTGGTTTTAATGACGAAAGAAGATCTTCTTTACTATCATTTATTGATTGTGTTGGTGTAATCGTGAATGTTTGCGAACTGTTCAGATCTTCTTGATCTTTTATAAGTGATAAATCGAACTTTTCATCGGATAAACCATCAGGACTTGAAACATCAAAGATCGGAATCGACGCTCGATGTTGATTGACATTGTTCCGAATCGAACTCAATCTTTGCACTTGTGTGTCCAAGGATAATATCGCAGGAGATGAATTATGATGCACATGGGACATTAATCGACGTGTTTGTACGAAAAAATGTGCTAAAGTTTCTTGCCATCCGTGGCATTTTGCATACAAATGACAGGCATTTTCATGGCTGAGGAAAAAAGCCATTAACTACAAAGAATTTCAAATGAGTTTTGCAAAAGACTGTCATGAATTACTTTTCGCATGGAAATAAATCGAACATTTATCGACCCTGCACTACAAAGTGTTAAAACAACATTCAAATGGTGCACTGCAGCTGCAGAATCTAAAACGAATTGTTCAAATCGATTGATAGACTAGTGCGCAGAGACATCTCACTTGAAGCTATGATTAAATCAAGAATTTCCTCGACAATAAGTTCATTAAACATATCAATTGCAATCCCGGAGATGATTCCACCGAAACCGATATGATTCGTTTCTAATCTTAACTGCGCTCGTGCCGATTGGGATATTCGTTGTGACTCGAGACAAGTTTTGAGAATTCGGAGGACAAGTTCTTTGGTTCTACTTGTTAAATTATTCGAAGTTAAAAGAGCGTAGAGTCCTTCGGCCATATTTGGTTCGCATAATTGTTCAATAATTCCGTCATTTGGCAAATGGGTTAACGATCCGGAGAGAAATTCAAGTAATTCAGAAGTTAATTCATCGTTGGAATTCGATACAACAGAAATTGTCGAGAGAAAAATGTTGAGAGTTTTCGAAGAGATTTGATTTTGAAAAAGATATCGAAGAATTTCGTAGATGACTTCGCGTAATTCGATTTCGTCTTTCGTGGTACTAAAATCGAGATTTATGAAGAGTAGATTGCAAAAACGAAAGGTTTTTACTTGAAATGTTGACGAAGAATATCCAAAAAGAATTGAATATTGAATTTGTCTCGATCGATTTTATTTTCTTCGCGAAGAATTTTGAAAATATATTGTAAATGTAACAATCGAACATAGAAATTCGACTTTTTCCAGAGATTAAAATCCAAAAGAACATATTCAATCAGTTGATTAATTATCAATCGCGATGAACTCATCAATCGAGTCGATTCAATCAATTCTTCGATGGAAATGAGAAACTGCTGATCCAGAAACACCGGCGAGAGTTTTTCAAAATAATGCACGAGAATTTCCACGTTATAATGCTTAGTCATTTGTTCAGTCAAGTTGACCATCGATTTCGATGATAAAACACACCGAATTAGATGAATTATTGACGCAATTGGATTCGAATAGAAATGATGATGAGGTGTTAATTGATATCCATTCGAGGAGAAAGATTCATCGGACTTGTGATAATCAGTTTCTTGGAATAATTCAATTAATGGATAAAGTATTGAGCAACCACCTAAGGTGGAAAGAGATTGAGCGAAAGAATAAAGGCGAAGACATGAGCCATTGATGAGTCGACCATGAAGTGAAGAATAGCCGGATATATCAAGACAAATTTGATTGTTACATGCTAAAGGATGATAGAGTAACAACGAACGAGCGCAAAACGAATCAAAAATTGTTGACGGATGAGAATTTTCATCGTTCATTGATGAAGAATGAGACAAATGATTACCTAAAAGTAAAAAAGAGAATGTGACTAAGATAAATTGACGAGTAAGTACCCATTTCGTGAAGAGATTTCACTTGTTGTTCATCTAATGTCTCAGCTAAGATCCAAATACATGCAATTTGTCCATATAAGCATGTTGAGTGGCCAAAGATTGTATCTTGAGTATCCGCATCGATGATCATCACATTTTGTGAGTAAAAATCTTGATTTTCCCTTCTTGGCATCGGTGTTCGACTTTTCGATGAGAATAACCCTTTTAATGGCTGAATACTCTTCACTAATGTTAATGATAAGGAATCATTTCGTTGTTTCATTTCCGACGATTTCGGACGTTGACTTGCCGAACCAATCGATGCTAAATTTATTGGTTCATTCATCGTCAAAACGTATTTAAAATTCTTGATCTCCTTTCGTAATAAACCATCGATATACACCGACAATTGGCATGTCAATGTTGATTGAAAAGCTGAACCGAACAATGAAGGTCGTTGAGCAGCATGAACAATAGTTAATGAATGCCAAAATCCATCGATTAGATCATCACAATCTTGGATTTCAATGTACGCAATCTCACGGCGATCGCTGATCAAAACAAATATCGAAGAGCTGCGTAGAAACGATTCGAAACCAATAGAATTCGAATAGAAGGAGTAAATCTGTCGACGGCCTTCGTATGGATACGAATTGATTTCGTGGTTAGGTCGGATCCAACAATGAAATGTAAAATGTTGACCCGTAGTCGATGAACTTGTTGAGGAGGATAAGGATGGCCAACGTTGAATTGCGGGTAAAACGATTCCCTTAAAAAGAAGAAGATTTTCGAATAGGAATAAAACAAAGGATGTGCTTACACTATTTGGTCGTTGTAAATCGAAATAGGATGAAATCAATTGTGTATCGGGATCATCATGTTTAGCTGAGATGATTAACAATTGTAATAGTTCTTTTTTTAAACCGATATTTTCGCTGAGTAATTGATTGATTAGTCGAATATCTTGCGGATTTATCGAAAATCGTGCCAAGTTATTCAATAATGACAACACTGCTGACAGAATTTTCTCGTCGATCTCTTTTGATTTCCTCAATATCCGAAGTAAACTCGAAATAACTCCATTTCCACACGCCATCATCTTGTTCGGCAATGAACGTGAGATAATTTGATCGACGGACGAAATAATCAACTGTTGAGACGAAGAATTTTTCAGATAAGGAATCCATTCGATCAACGAACGAGCGAGATGTGGATTATTAAAGACTAAATATGAATCGAAGGAGATTGTTGATGCATCTTCAGGTTTTTCGATGAGAAGAAGGATTAATTGATTGAGAAATTCATTCGTTGGTGAATGAATATGACAGAGAGATTGAAAATATTTGTCATAACCATTAAATTCGAGGAATTTTTCTTGGACATTTTCCGAATCTTTGAGAAGTTCGATGACAAATTCGAAAATGATTTGAAGATGAGTTTCATTCGTGTTTAACTTTTCATAAACACTTTCCAAACATTTGCCTTTAAGAAATTCGATTTTCAACGCAGCACGATCTTCATAATCGTGTAATAATTTCGTTAAAACTTCAAAAATATTCGTTTGTTCAATTTGAATTGATTGGAAAAGTTCAGTTAAATAATCCGTTAAATCGATCAAGCGTTGATCGATACTCGTTTGATGAACTTTTCGTATTGTATCGATGATTTGTTTGAAATTACTTTCGTTAATTAACATCGTTGACATAAACCCTTCTTTCCAGTGCGCACAAGCGCAGGAAATTCAACTGCAGTTCAAATATCACAGATCTAAAAATCTAAGGATGAACAAATTCAATGATGTTTTCATGTGACTTGACAAAAACAAAGAAAAATGTTTCTTAGTTAGCATTGTCTTAGCTGGTATTCAATTTGAAATGTTCCTTTGATAAGTGAGAATACAAAAAAATGTATTTAAGAATTTCATCTATGGAAAAAGAATGACATAAAACTGTTTTTTATCTAAAAGAGGCAAAGTTTCTTTTGTTTATCTATCTATTAAAGATGATGATGACGACGATGTATTTCAAACAAAACGAAGAAGCAATCATTCACATATATAAGGAAGCAAAAAAAAGTGATAAGTACCGGAAGACAAATGAGAGAAAAACAAAGAAACAAATAGATATGCTTAATGGTTCATACGATCTGCATTCTCAACTATCGGACATAGAAAAGTTGCACAAAAGTAAAGGCGAGATGTTGTTTTTCCTTTTGATTTTTCTTCCATGAGAGATTCGGGAATGAACAACGTTCAAATATGTGTAATATATCTTTCTCTAAGATGATAATATATAAAAGTAGAAATAAAGATAAACAAAAGACAAAATGAAAAATATCTGTATGTGTTATCATGTGAAGATTTTCATGCGGAAAATAAGTAATGAAGATGATCTTTATCACAGAATGATACACACATAGAGATTAGAGAGATGAAAACAGATTTGTTATTCTTTGAATTTGTACGAATAAACAAACAAAGAATACGAGAAGTGAACAAGTAGATGTTAAACATGTTGATGAATTGTATGTTGGATCGTAATAACGTGCAGATTGATCTTCTAAAATCAAACAAGAATTTGAAATTCTTTTCTTATTTCAAAGATCAATATTTACTTATTATTCTATATGAACTATATGCGTAAGTAGTTCCTTTCGAGCATGAATAATCTATTTTGTGAAGTGTTTCATTTAGTATTGTATGATTAATATGAACAAGTAGAAGTGATGCATTACATACATCAACTCGAACATTTTCTCGATTGATTCGACAACCATCACTACTATCATCAAACATTAAGAAAATGCCGGATGGTTTAACATTATCGGTTTTCACGGATAGATAAACATTATCGAATTTCGATGATGCTAATGGAGATTTGGAGATTGGCTGGATGATCTGACAGCGAACTTGAATATTTTCCGTGGAGATTCCAGAATTGGGATAAACGGAGAGTTCAATCGTTGGACGATTGGATGAATCGAATTTCGAGGAGACCACATGAATCACAGAGAAGATCAAACAAACTAAATTTGGAAAATAATCGATAGATTTATTCAATTGAATGTAATTCGTAATCAAACAGATAAAAGAATTGTCTATATCCTTTTTCTCATCAAAGATAATTTCATTTGAAATAATCGCACGTTCCATGTCCAATAAAATGCAAATATTTCCAATGATATAACTCACATATTTTCATTCCATTGCTCTACGTGATTCTTCCGTTATGATTCGATGTTTATCGTTAAGCTTTTCTTTGGAGAATTTGATACAACAATCGAATGATTAATCCCAAGTTAAGAGTTCTTATTTTATTTCATGTCTACGTCGATAATCTCGACTTACCATGAAAGAAAAGTAGCAGTAACGCTGATGCCATTTTGACCACGATGTCGTCCGATCAATGCGCAATTAATCTTCTACAATGAAATAAAGAGAAATTGAGCTCGAACAAATTTGTCTCTGACATTTATGCAAATGCTCCGTCTGGATGTGTTTGGCACATTCACACATATCATTAAAAAATTTGGACACGCTGACAAATTTCTCACCACATGCAAGAGATTGTTTTCTTCTACGACGTCCTATGTGCACGAGATTTGAAAAATGAACAGCAAGATTGATTTCGATATACTAAGAATAATGAGTGTTCAAGTTTGAAGCGTGCGATGGAGCAGAAGAAAAGATGAGATGTACTTTGAACAGATGTATATGCACATTAGACAATTTGCGAATAAGAACGGATTACATAAGATCAGTTTTTTTTCCTTCTTCCTATATCGATGTATTATGCTTCGTTCACACTCATATTCCGTCCTCAAAATGTTAACTAATGCAATAATCAAGTGGGGGGGAGGGAGCTTTGATGAAGGGCAAACGTGCACATCAAATTGAACGAAAGAGAGAGAGAGAAAGCACATAAAAGCAGAAGAGTTGTTGTCGATTGATGGAAGAAATAAAATAAAATGAAATAAAAGAGAAGCAATCGTCTAAATTGCACTAAAGAGATGAAGTGAAGAACTTTTCTATGGATTCAGAAGAAAAGAGCCTTGCTGCTAAGCAACTTTCCGATTAGATAAAACGACGGCGACAACAACGAAGAGAAAAATATGTTAATTGTGTACACATTTAGGTCGCAAATGAGTAACATTTGACAGATGGGGAAACATTTTTTTTTCGAAGATCAACTGTTCTATTTTGTGAACACAAGAAAGAAGGGATTAATTGTTATTTACGTAAGGAAATAGAAACGTGTTACGAGTTGATACAATTTGATAATAAAAAAAAATATACAGAGAACGATGTGTGAGCATCATTATCTGATGTACTTCGATGATGGAAGGAATGAAACAGTAGACAATGTAACGTTATATAGAAATATATATGTGCACAATAAAGGAAAAAAAGATTGACCACTTCACTGATGATGATTGGTGAGATGAATACACCAATAGAAATTCAAATTTCAAACCGCTTCGTTGATTTATGATCAGTTAGATCGATCATAAAAGAATTCACATAAATTTGTCGAAAACAATTCACAAATTGTCTTTTTCGAAATAAAATTCTTTTTCACATAGTAAATAAAGAACTTTTGTTTATCAATATGTCGTCTATTACGACTGTAAATTTATTTTGCACTATAGGAATAGTTTTGAAAGATTATATACCCTCGATATAAGTAGCTTATTAGAAAATTTTCTGTCATTTTAATCAAATTTTCTACCTTTCCTATTCCGTGAACGTTGAACTTCGAGAAACAAGAATGAAGTTTAAAGAAAATTTTCAAAAAACAACTGAGATTTACCGTCACATCACACAACAAGTCATTTATCATCTAAACCTACAAAAATCCTTTAATTTCAGTATCTTATTGGTTGGTAAAGTAACCCATGAGAATCCAAATAACTCGCTGCTTTCTTTGAATTTTATAAAAATATTCATAGATAAACAAATTAGATAAAAGTCAACTCGAATTTGCTTGTAGAAATTCGGTTTGTTCGATATTTATTCAGTAAGAATGAAGTTTACAGCTGATGACAATGTCGATATGACTCATTCATTCAGCGGAGTGTTTTTGTCGATCTTTGGCATTTACTTATCTACGCATTTCTTTCGTTGAGTATGATGTGGGGGTATTTAGTGCTTTTTTTCGAGATTGAAATGTGATTTTTTTTCTAGATTTTTCTCATCTCTTTATTGAGATGGATTTTGATATTGATGCTGTTCTTGATCAATTGGAAAAGAAATGTAAGTTTTGATGACTATTTCGTCGTATTTCATCGATGATTTCTATTCTAGTGAATCAATCAGATCTTGAAGAAAAACAAGCCATTGAACCACCTCCAGCAGTTTCTTCTTCTGCTTCTCTTCCCTCAACATCACCACCACCGCCGATAAAATCAGTCGATGATCTATCTTTATTCGATCTTGATCCACTCAGTCACTCAGAATATCAAACAAACGATCACGAAGGAAGCAGACTCGACAGTTTTCAACAAGATCTTCAGGATTTATACGCATCATCTATAGTCGTCGATCCACCAGTCGCTCCTTCTTTTGTTCCTATTCTACCCGATGTTCCCGATCAACAAGAAGACATTCTTTCAACTTCATTGCCTCTCGCTGTTGAGCAACTCGAAATCGAAGTTCGAGAAGAAATCTTACAACACACTCATGAACAACCTCTACTCGACGGTCATCATGAAAAAACACAAGAGGCCACGTTTTTATCAACTTCAATCGAGGAAGAACAACAATCGCCATTAGCAACAGCAGATACTAAAGAAATCGTTGAAAATGAATCTGATTGTATTCCACACGATGTATCACCTACTCAAACACAAACGGTGTTACACAGTGTTGATAGTATTGTTAATGCAACGACGATGGCAGACCTTGAAGTAAGGAAATAATTGAATGTAATCAAAAGGAAACTTTGGTATTTCCCGATAGGATTATGTTGCTCCTAATCCATCTGGAATTGACGTTGAACCACTTGAAACATCATCGGAACTGCTCTTTACTCCATGTGAAGATAATGAGGAAAATACAATTGAAATACCATCGGAAGAAATGAAAACGGATGAGTTACTCCATTTACCACTTCCTTCTTCGTCAACATTAACGACGAGTACAACACAAAGTCAAGATTTTGATCTTGTAAAGAATATTCTATCGGAAATTTTCGATAAGCCAGAAATAGAGTTATTAGATGAAGACTTAGTTGATGAAAAGGAAACGAATGTCGAACAGCAAGAACCTCTTCCAATCACACCTACAAATAATAACGAAGATTTCCGTTTTCTCGACGAAATGCTCGCCAGTATCGATGTCTCCGACGCTGATATTCATCAATTAACTCCTGCAGAGATCGAACGAGTTGATAATTTACTCAAAGATATCGTTAATTTACAGCAAACAACTGAGGAAAATCAATCTGATTCTCAATCTCCTCCTTCTGAACGACCACCATCACCTGTGGAAGCTACCGAAGTGCCAGCAGTAGCAGCAGCAACTGCTGCCACAGCTGCTGCGGCTCCTGTTGACGAAGAACTAGTTCGTGTCGAACAGGAATGGGCGAAACTAACCGACGATCAAAAACGACTTGGTTCTATCGCACCGGACTGGGTCAGCGATGACCTCGCACCGGCATGTATGAAATGTGCAAATAAATTTTCGATTACTCGTCGTCGACATCATTGCCGTGCATGTGGGAAAGTATTCTGTTCGACTTGTTGTTGGCAAAAAGTGAAATTAATTCATGATGATAGTAAAGAAGATCGGGCATGTAACGATTGTGTGAAAACAATCACTGAAGGTAAACGCATTGAATTTATTTCGAATGATTTTGCAACAGTGGTGCTTTGTTTCAGTCGAATATTTATGGAATTATATGCGCAATAATCAAAGGCCTCGTTCATCGGTATTACGAAAACGAACAGGTAAAGAATCTATGTCGAAGTTGATGTTGATAATGACATATTTTGTAAGAGAGTTGTTGGATCAGTGCGATATGGAACTGTGTAGTATCTTAATTGAAAAAAAAAAACCATTTGAATAATGAATTCTTTTGATTGGAAAATCTTTACTCATAAGTTTTGTTTGGTTCGGGAATGAAACCGATCGGATGTGAACGCATTTCTTGCTTTGTTGGCACTGACTGTTGTTGATTTACCGAATGTTCCACATTCTGATTGTCTTCTTTGTTTGTATCGATGATTTTCTTTTCTTTGGGTGATTGGACTGATGAACTTTCCTCATCAAGAAGTTGTTTTGGTGTTCGTGCTAGAATGATTTTACTATTATTAAAGATGTAGAGCTCATCGAGATTTGTTTTCGCTTTCTGATCCAAACGTTGTCCTTTGTACATTAAGATTTGATGACATTTCGGTACTTTGAGTCGTTTTTCAATTTCTTCAAGAACTTGTTCTATGCAAATCTTTTTCTCTTTACTTGTTAATAAAAGTTCGTAAAAATCCGAACCGTATTGGACTTGCAATTTCATGCAATGTGTTGATGTCGTGTTCGAAGTCATTTCGTTACTAATCAATGAAAGCTTATGGCGCCAAAGATATTTTCAGGATGAAAAACAGATGATGAAAAGGTTTTGTATTTACAAAATCGCTTTATTCAAGGTGTAGAGGGATTGAATAACAAGAATAATAGAAAAAAAATATGTTTTTAAGTTTGTTCTTCTTGTTCGAACGTTTTCATCTTAATTTGTTCGATTATTGGTTATCATTGGCTCGTATCGAGCTCGTGATGGATCGCCAATTAGTCGAACTTGAGCATTATTATCAATGCCAGCTTCACGTAATGTGCGATCCTTCATATTCTGTAATTCTTGACCACGGAAGAACAGTTTCTGATTCTGAACAGGAACTGTGGTGATTCGTTGTAATTCTTCCATTAGATCTCCAATGCGTAAATTGTTTGTACTACGTAGGATAAGGATATGTCGATCAGAACCTAAACAAGACAAGCAATTAGCAAAATAACAAAACAAAATGAAACTACTCACCATGGAATACTTCGATTTTTAATACGTCTTGATTCCCATTATTTTGTATCGTTTCATTATTATTGTCCATTCTACTATGCAATATTTCATAGACATATCGGTTCATTTTCTTTGTTTCGCTTACCTTGGTGACATCTCATTGTATCCTGTCTGAGGACCGTCAGCATAATATTGTGCTTGTGGTTGTATATTTGGTACTGAATTTCGAACCCATAGCGAAACGAATGAATTATTAACAATGCCGATACTATCCAACGGTGTATCCGGTGGATATTGTGTTAATAAGGTACCGTTATAAGACAAATTCTGTTCGTGAATGGGTATATTAAAGCGTTGTTGTAACTCAATTTGTAAGTCGTAGATCGTTGATGGATATGGTCGACCAATAACAAGACCTTCGACTCGATCGCCCATACCGATTTGTAAATTATGAAGGAATGTTGTCGCATTCGGTGGTGTAATCGTTTGATTTTGTATTGGTTGTTGATAATAATTAGCTCTAGAAAAGAAATGGAAGATAAAGATCACGTATGAAAGTTACTTTGCTTCATAGAGACTACTTGAAAATGTCTTTTTTATTGGATAAGAAAAGTGCTCTTCACTTTTACGCTGTCGTTCGAGAAGGAGAAAAAGAAAATATTTTCAATGATGCATCGCTTACGATAGACTAGGATTGAATTGTTGTTGTTGCTGCTGTTGAAATTGATTGGACATTTGTAATGGCGGTAGTTGTTGCTGTTGATTATACGAAGTGTTTGATGATAACGGTTGCTGGTTGGAAAGTAATTCTCGACGTCGGTTTTGTTGCGCGGGATCATCCTCTCGGCAAACACGCATTTGATGATTATTTTCAATTCCTAATGTTTCTAAAAGTTCATTCGGTGTGTTACAAATATTTCGCCCCTAGAGAGAAGTATTTATGACGTAAGAAGGCTATTTAAAACGATTATTTACCTTCCAGTAAAGTATTATTTGATCAGGAGGCATTTTGAATGCTTTTGATGCATCTTCCTGGACATCACGTACACGCAAATCGTAATCGCGTTTGACAATCAACGTTTGTCGATCGGAACCATAAGCAGCTTCGATTTTAATGACTTTACGATCTTGTCGACGAGCCATTTTCTTGAAAAAAAAAGAAGTCAAAATCATTTCCCTCGAAATCACATTGTTAGTCAAAACCAGAAGCCCAAGCGAGGAAGCTGAAAATCATACATGTTCGAACGGTGTCCGTCTATCTTCGCTGAAAAACATGCTGATGTGTTTGCCTGAGTGGTTTATGTGCGTATGGATGTCTGATAAGTGATATCACTAGTGAGAGTTTGACTTGCATTTTTACCTCGGCGTATTCGATTTCTTTACACTCAGTTCTTTTTCAAATATGACTGAGACCAGTGTGAAAAGAATTGTTAAATAAAAAACGAGGAAAATGGAATTTCTTCTGTATACGTAATTGCTCGTTTTTTTTCTTCTTCTTTCCTTTGTATCGTTGAAAAATGACAAGAGAAATTTGCTAAGAAACCGGCGTTTTCTTTTTTTCCGTTCTACTGTTGGTCATATTCGCATCTATCGTTTTTCTTTCAAATATCGACGAATAAAGTGACAATTAATTAGAGAAGAATAGAAAAGAGAACAAGAAGCATTGTTCTCATGTGGTTTCACCTTCACAATTTCAGATTCTGTTTTTTTCTCTTGTTCTTTCAACATTTTACTTTTACCCCTAGTGACAGAATATGTGTATATATATGTTTCTCCTCGTTGTCACGACAAATCAAATACAACGTTATTCCCGATTTAACAAATGAAGGAAAGAAAATTGTTAAGAATGATATTTGAGATTTGTCGTTGATATAAACAAAAATTAACTATCATTCAGAATATCGTCGATGTTTTTGACAACCAGACGAAAGTGATAGAACGAACCTGTATTTCTGCTTCATGCGTTGCTTTGCCCGTACCGATTGGGTCGTAGAGTTTATTCCATATACGATCATGTTGAAGATTTAGTAATGGATCGACGTTACTTGATCGATTAAATGTTGCACCTGGGAGACTCTGATGGCCAGTGGTCCGTTGAGTATGCTGACCAGTATGTTCAGTTCCACGGGAAACACCTGCATGGGTTCGATTATTTTTATTCGAATCTCGAACATTGTAATCATATGAGTAATCGTATGTAGTTCCCATTTTGTATTGAAAAAATTGAATTCAATCTGGAATAAACCGAAATGAAAGAGAAGGAAGAGTATGAAAGTTAGAAAAATGAAAAGAAATGTGTATGTGGAGTTTAAACGAAATAATAAAGCCCTTTCTGCTCGACTACCATGCCATCAACACTGTTTCTCTTTCTATATATATATATATATATATACGCTTCTCTTGATACTCTTTTGTACACGAAGGTTATTTCAATACGATTTCCTACAACTTCCTTCGATCTCTTGTTCACAATTTTTTGCAAGTTTAGATTTTAATAAGAGAAGCCCAGAAAATGCTCTCGTGATCTATGCTCTCAAGAAAAATTCATAAATAACCTTCATATTTTTGCTTTTTCTCTCTATCTCACCTTTTTGTATTGAAATATATAAAGATATTCAATTCAAAAGAAAAATTTTTTGTAAACAATGTTAAAAATTCTCTCTATTCTCCTTCTATGAATCTATTTCAGGTGCATCTCTTTCAGTAGCAGCAGCAGCAGCAACAGGACTAAACTCTGTTGGTAGACAAGGTTCGGAACATAAAAAATCAGTCACATTTGACGATGGAATCAAGCCCGGTGACCAAATACCTACATCTACAGTCGCCGCTGCTGCGGCAATGGCAACAAATAACATTTTATCAACACATAAAACACGAACAAATGAAAATGATCCAAATCAAGCAACATTATTCAAATCAGGTAGGATTTGAGAAGTCTAAGTCAATATACATAAGTTTGTGATTTGTTTCATGTAGAAACATTAACAAGCGAAGAACTTGAAGATCGAATTCGACGATTAACAGGTTGGAGTTAATCATTAAATAGATTTGAACTGTGATTGATGACTTTAGATCAAAATGAACCGCCAGTGGAATTTCGTATTCATAATAATTTGATTGTGATGAGTAAAATCGTTGATAATTGTAATGAATGAGATTGGGATTGTTTTTCATCAAATATTTACTTTGAATTTCTTTAGTCGATTGTTATTTAACTCGAAATACAAAACGTTGTTGGATATTTTCCACCCGTGGTCTATGTACAGTCGCACAAGATGAACTTATTTTCATTTTCGATGATAACTTAACCGATGCAAACGAACTCATTTCCGATATTCTTAATCACATCCATCAGATATACGAAGATGCAACTCGAGGTTCATACAATACATTTATCAGTTCGAAAAATAAGCGTAATTTATCTAATTTCAGGTTCATTTGTTCGCCATTTGGGTTTATCGTTGTCATCAAAATCTTCAACATTTCTCACCTCATCGACAACGGCCGGATTTCTTTACTTCACTGATTCAACAGTATCATATAGTTTATTTCCGGACGCACCATATCTATTTGGTATTCTCATTGATCGATTAGAATTACCGACTGCTCAGTGTTTTCCATTGAGACTTTTACTTCGCTTAGGCTATGAATATCAAAGTATGAAAAGCAACCATCGTTTTTCATTACTAATACAAATGTTTCTTAGGCTATCCATGGCCATTATTTAGTATAATCAATCGCGATGCTATTTTTAGTGATACTCAACATACAATAATGAGTTTACTTTGTGTAAATATTGATTTTGTTTTGTTTGAACATTCGAAACATGGTCTGTTTTTTTCTCTCCAATAGGATTTTCGTTCGTTTACTTATGTTTTACCTACTATCCGTGGTCTGATCATATCAGTTGGTACTCAAGGTTCCGTGTCAATACGTATTCCGCGCAATCGTCATGATGACATATTAAAATCACTCGATCAAAGTAGTCCACATGCATTAAGTTTCGGTATAATGAATGTTAATCGTCAAATTCATTCGAAACATCTCGTTACAATTCAAAACTGTGCAGATCAACAATACGAAACGCGAATCTTTTCATCAGCCGATTGCAATAATGAACAAATCATGATTGGTGCAAATTTTCTTGTGATTAATGCAAGTCTTCGTTCTCGTGATAGTCCATCAAGTTCGCCATTGGACATGCAAACTGGTGGAAGTTTTTCATCCAATAATTTAAATGCAAAAGTCAATTCAATTGAAGATGGAATTATGTTGCAAATCGATGGTGATGCACTTAAAGTGCTCAAACAATGTTTAAGAGAGAGAAAAGACTATGCGATATTAGCAAAAGCAAGAGCGATTGTTACGGATGAACAAAAAGATGGAAATGTTGTTAAAAGAAGTTCAAGTGAACAGTTAGTAGAATTTATCTGGATTGATGAAGATAATGATGTTAATCGAGGGTAAATTGTTCTTTACAAACGAGAACAACTTGTTCAACTCGCTTTTTCGTGTAGAGTTCGTTCACCGATTGATCATTTTCCGATGGATGGAATTCGTAATTCTCGTATTCATTATGCTGGACAACGTTCGCCATTATTTCGAATTCGATGGGCGGATTTATTTTTTATTGAATGTCATTTGAATAATAATGAATCTTTTGATCCAACACGTTTAGCTGATTCACTTGCAAAAGCTTTTACACAAGCCTTAACACCTTTTGTTGATATGCTTGTCGAAGCGAAATATCGTAAATTAGGTTTACGGGTGACAATTGATCGAGAAAATGTGAGAAAAAAAAGTGTTGTCTTTTTCTTTGAAGTAAAAATTTATGTCTATTCTTTGTTTTAGGCTTCATATTTAGCCGGTTCAAATGGTGAACAATTATCACCGTTTTTTCTTAGTCAACTTGACGATCATATGATCCCTATTGTAATGAAAGCATCAGACAATATTTCACGTTCAACTCCAACACTTGTTCTTGAACTTGTCTTTTATTTAATTGATTAGTCGTGTGCATTAAATGGTACTTCTTTTTTTTTAAACGTCTGGTCTCTATTTCTTTGTATATGATTCTTCTTTTTCCCTCGTTGGTCTTTCAAGTTCTTGACCATTTATTTATGAATACAAAAATGAAATCAAATAATATAGACCCACATAAAGAAGAGTGAAAACATCTCATTTTAATTGAATTTACTTCAATGAACTAACTATATTAAAATTTCTTGGATATTCTGTGTTGAATAGTAAATAAAACAAAAGAATCAGTCAAGTATTTGTGGATTATGTTGTAACACCACACTCACACGAGTTTCATTTAGCAACACAAATATTCAAATCAAAGTTGATTAATCTCAATTAGAAAACTCACATGGATATTAATTCAAACAAAATTCAGTGTAATACATATGATGAATGGAAAGTGGACTCATAAATTATTCCTACAAACATAGATAATCGGTAATTTTCAGAGATGACAATACTGAATAAGTATACATAGTGTTGTAAACAAAAAAGACAGAGAGTTCCTGTTCTCATTTATCGATAATCTAGTCGGTCGCTGTGAATCGAACTTTACTTAAAATAAAATTCATTCATAAGGTATATTTTTCTATAGATTTGAAATGTATGTTACTCCGCAACAGTTGTCTAATCAAAATATCGATCATTTCTCATCGGATGTTTGTATTTGGAAATGTTTCAATAAGAAAATCAAGTCGTTAAAAGAAACTTCTATTGATTGCATTTTGTTTCTGTACGCATCATTCCAAACTTTGTCTACTATGATGAATTAATTTGTTAAACTATTCAACGAAGCGTTGATTCTAATTGAACATTTCAAGAGAATAAAAATCATTGATAATTTTTCTTGATTTTAGTCGGTTTATTTCTTTAAAAAATTATTCATAAAGATATTATTATAATATATAAATAAAAGACAATAACAAAACGAAACACTGGGAAAAGGTTCGATACTCTAAACACAAGATGGCACATGGAATGACTCTAACTCCCCCACATATATGTAAATATCTGCATATAAATATAAATGACAATGAGAAATGATTAAAATACGATATTACGCACATACAAAGACAAAATCGAGTTTAAAAAAATGAGAAGAATTGTTTATTATTGAATATTTCGTCGCGATTTATTTCAGATCAACATCTCCATTGATTTTCTTGGCAATATCATCAATCAGCGACCGAAATATTCGATCTGCACGTAATGGTGTCAATGGTGTATCATCAAAATGTTTTAAAAAAGCTTCCTTATTCTGTTCTTCAATGTCCGCCATTAATTGTCGAATCAATTTTACTTCGAGAGACCGCTCTTCGAATAACGGATTATCTTGTAAGTATCTATTCAATGCCGTATTTGCATTTTCAATATCAATGCACAACGCACACATCGTTGCTCTGAAATATTCGTGCTTTAAAGTGAGAAAAATGTTGTTTTCAATGAATTTACCTTAGCCAATAGTCTTTTGAAGTGAATTTTAACATTCCATCATCTTTTGTTTTGTCCGCCATTTCTTCGTATTCTTGCTGAGCTTGAATATGTTCATGTTGTAAGACGAGTGTCTCCGCCATTTTCTTTTGCACACGATTCGCCGCTGACTTTTGTCCTTCCTGTTTTAAAAATCGATATGCTTCTCGTAAACACTTCATCATCGGTTCAAAGTTATTCATTTGTTCATGTAATTCAGCAGCTTTTTCTAAGATTTGTGAAGCCATCGCCCATTTACCTTGGCTCATATTCAATTCCGCTGCGCGCATCAACGGCGCTACAGCTTGAGGAACATCAAACATCTTGTACGATGAAGAAATTGCTTCGTACATTTGAGCTTTTTCATAATCTTCTGTACTTAAATCTAACGCTTGTTTATAAGCTTCAACTGCTGCAGGATAATCACTTTCAGCGCGTGCGGCATTTCCTGCTTGAATGTAAAGTTCTCTTGCATCATCAGTGGCTCCACTGCCCGATCCCATCATTCGTTGGAAAAAGCCATTGGCAGCTTTGGCTTTTTTGTTTGCTTCAATCATTAATTGAGCTGCTGATTTATTCGATTTACTGGCCATGGTTAGTTTCAAAAAATCTGAAAAACAAAACTGAATTTTTGAAATATTTTGATTTGAATATTTCAGATGAATATAAATCTGAATATTTCTAATTACAAAAAGAAAAAAGAATAATTGAGATAAACCATCGACGGTTGGATTTATTTCGATATTTTCTCACATCTGAAAAAGAATATAAACTTAATAAACATCAATTGCATTGTCTATCTTTACCTTCCAACGATTTCCACAGTTTTTACAAAAAACAAATAATGTCATTGGTTCATCTGCACTTCGCGTTTGAGCTTCTGTGTACGCGCAATTATTTTGTTTACAACTAAAATCATTTCTTATTTCATTCAGTAAATTTATCAACGAATCATTCTTTTACCGTCGACATTGAATGAGATCTGTACCCGTGCCTTCGTCTGTCGCCAGTTGATATTCATTAATAGCAAGGCCGGTTAATTTCGTCCGTTCTTGTTTCAATGCATCACTTGCCATTTCCTATGTTCGGAAGAAAAAGAAAGGTTATTTGTTATGTCCAAAAGAGTAACAAACTTCGGCAGTGAGAACAGCAAGTCGTTCAGGAGTTATCAAACCGAGAAGAACGTTGATACGAAGATTGGGATTCTTTGCATCTTTTAAATTTGCTACACGACTGCGAATACGATTGCGATATTTCACACTTGTATCTTTTAATTCATTAAAAATCGCTGAAAACGAACAACGCTTTTTCTATGAAGAAAAAGAGTTCTATTAAAGTCGTACCGTCTTCACATCGTGCTGCTAATTCAACTGGATCAGCAGAACCTTCTGGCAACTCCACCATGGATAATGCTCCAGCTAAGAGATCACGTGATTTCAATCTTTACAAAGAGATGAATAAATCGAAAAGATTTGATGACTTTTCTTTCTTTTTACCGAACATCATCTTTTGTCTGTAAACCCGTAAAATTACTCGATGATGAAGCACTTTTCGACGGTTGTCGTTCTGATGCTTTACTTGAATCACTATTTTTTCCACTAGTTACATTTGTTTCTTGAGAATTTTGACTATTATTATTACTACTACCACTTGCTGATGCCGTTTGCTTCTCATCTTTATTCGCCGAAGTTGATTCTTCACAAAACAAATAAATAAACAAAGTTGAAATGTCAAAACTTTACCAGGTACAAGTTTTTTCCAATTTTTTAAAAGACCTTTGGCAATAGTTGACACATCTTCAGTTGCAATCAATCTTCGTAAATTGTTGACTGTTTTTCCAATACCCGTTTTTTGTAAGATACCTAGTGTAATACGTGATTCTTGTAAACGACCGAGTAAATCCCGAGCGATGCTTTCATCCTAGGTTTATTTATTAGATCGAAGGAAAAAAATATGGGTGACGACATACGACATCAGATTTGTCGATCATTTTTTGTAACTTTCGATTGATTTTCATGATTTCTTCTTCAGCCATCTCATTCAACGAGTAGCGATAGAACCGATCTATAAAAAAATAAATAAAAATAATTACTCACTCAGTCAAGTTTTGTTTTCTTCAAAACGGCTTGTCTCCTTTACTCGAAGATGACTTTGACAAATAAACGACAATCACTCATTTTCATGTCGCAAATTTCTTTTTACTAACCATTTCAATCATTGAAAACAACCTAAAATCCTAAATAAATATTATTAAATCAACATACGAAACACATATAGATGGCGCTAGTCATCCACGCGCATATTGGAAATCCTATTCGCTCATACCTGATTTTGCGAACAAAACGAAAAATTGAAGAATTGTCTGTAAAAGATAGAGTTTTCTTCTCTTTACCGAGCGATCTTCCTTCTCTGTCAACTTCGATGATCTAAACCGTTTGTTTGCAAACATCACACTCGTTCTGTGTTTAAACAAAACGAAAGGGAAGAAAGAGATTAGAACGGGATTGATTTAACTTCATCGAACGAACGATGACCATCAATAAACAACGATTTAGTTACTATTATTCATTCATATACAATGACGACTAGTATTTTCATATTTCTTCTATTGTTCACAATTCAACACAGTAAGTCATGGTTTGATTTTTAAAAGTCAAACAATGTCATCTCTTTAGTTCGAGCGGATTGTCAGAATGAAACATCAGCAGAGTCAACATTTGTCTATCGACGCGTGTAAGATGGCCTTTGCTTTGTATTTTCTCGTAATTTACTATCGATTTTCAGATGTTATTTTGCAAATTGGGCTGCGAAGAGATATGATAATATCAGTCGTTTAACTCCTGAGGATATCGATCCGTTCTTATGTACACATATCAATTTTGCTTTCGGAAAAGTTTTAGAAAGTTTGAATATCGCACCGTACGAAGAAGATGATTTGAAAGGTTGGACAGCGAATTCGAAGGGCATGTACGAACGAATATTGAAATTAAAAGAGGCCAATCCTGATCTTCGTGTCCTTCTCAGTGTGGGAGGATGGACACATGCATCGCGCGGTTTTAATGAAGTATCGAAAAGTGCTGCAAATATGTAAGATTTCTTTGGCGAAAAACAAAACTCAACATAACGATTGATTTGATTAATCGATGTAGAAAAACGTTTGTCAAGAATAGTGTGAAATTCCTACGTGATAATAAATTTGATGGATTAGATTTAGATTGGGTAAATGAATGTATGTTACATAGATGAACTGAGCTCGAATGTTTTATTGACATAGGAATATCCAGGAGCGAAAGATCAAGGTGCTGAACCTCATTCAAAAACCGGTTACACAAAATTAGTCAAAGTAAATGAATTCTTCTTCCAAATGAAATATCATGGAGCTATTTGTTATGAAAAATTTAGAAATTAAGTCGAGTGTTCAAACGTGAAGCCGAACGAACGGGTCAAGAAAAACTTCTACTAACTTGTGCTACAGGTATTTGATTCACCAAAGAATATCACAATTATATACAAAAACCGTTTTCTTTTAGCTGCAGCGCGACATCGGATTGAAGCTGGTTATGAAGTTGAAGAAGTTTGCAAGTAAGAACATTCCTCTATTTTCTCCAATCACATTCCTATTTTTGCTGATAGATATTTTGATTTCGTCTCCGTGATGACTTGTAAGAAATCATTGAACTATGATCGGATTGAATGTGTACCTATGTGTTCAAATAGATGATTATCATGGCAGCTGGGATGGCAAAACCGGACATAATAGTCCATTGTATGCGATGCGAAATGAACGGAAGAAATTTCGTGAATGGAATATAAATAGTTCAATGCATGTGTGGGAAGAGCTCGGTTGTCCGAAAGAGAAATTGAATATTGGCCTTTCGGCTTATGGTTTATTCTCGTGTTTTTGAAGATTTGGCATTGTGAAGATTTTGTTTTAGGACGAGCCTTTTCATTATTTGGAGAAACGGGTATGAATAATGGTAAACCAATCTCGAAGAAGAAATCGTCGATCGGCGTGAAAGCAAGTGCAGCTGAAGCAGGAAAATACACTCGAGAAGCGGGAGTTTTAGCTTATTACGAAGTAAACTTTTATTTCATTGAAAGAAATATATATGTCACGTTCATAGATATGTGAATTATTACAAAATAATCCAAGTAATCGTGTATTTTGGCATCGACAGATGAGTGTACCCTATGTTGCAAGTAAAAGTTTATGGATTGGCTTCGATAACGTTCGTAGTGTCACACTCAAAGTAAACTTCCAAAGATGTTCACGAACAAAAAACAAAACTATTCCTTCTTTCAAAACATTCAGATGCAATTCTTGAAAGAACATGGATATGGCGGTGTGATCATTTGGTCTCTCGATCTTGATGATAAAACAGGCGAAACTTGTCATGAAGGACCCTTTCCGATTTTTAATGCAGCAAAGCGCGAATTATTGATTTTACCTGAACATCTTGCAGATAGAAATAAGAAATGTTCAGATGAGAATGTCACTGTCACAAGTGAACATCTTCATTCGAAAACGACTCAAGTAAAACACAGTAAGACTCAATGAATGAACGAAAATGTTCTGAAAGATTCTCTTCGATTTTAGATATTTTCTTTCTGTTTTACCTGGTGTTATTAAATTTCATCTAAACAATACAAAACCATCGAGATGTACTTTTCATTCCTTTCATTGATGTTTGTTTTCTTTTTTGTAATTTTTAACTCAATCAAATAAATTTCAATTTGATCCATTTGTCATACAAATGTTTTTTTTCTCTAGATGGGAGATGATTTACTTGCATATCGAGATCGAATTTCTCTTGCTCTTTGTGCTAATCGACACGAAGACATCATCACCATGTCGAAAACTTATTTAACAACCTTTCGCGATATTCCTCCGAATGATCGTCAAATGCTTTACTCAACTTACCAGAAACTTATTCTTGATTTCAACTTCAAATCGTATTGGAAATTGATTTCGACAGGATTAAAAGATAAGATCGAACTGAAATACTTGGAATCGATTGAAAACAAAATCGATTATCTTTGTAATGATATTGTTGAAATGATCGATAATTATTTCCTCGCATCGAAACTCAATGAAGATTTAGACATTATTTACACATTGCGACAACGTGCAGATTTTCTTTTCTTTAATTCTTCGATTGCAAGACCAGCGACAAAACAAATTATCCTTCAATCGGCTTTGCGTTCATACACAGAAGGTAAGAAAAAGAAATATAATCGATTTTGTTTGGATTCATTGCGTTTTGAACAGGTGTCGAACGATCACGTTTAACATTAGCAATCAATGAACCTGAACGAGTGTTAATTCAACTTCGTAAATGTGCTTGTGAAGTACAATTATCCAATGGAAGTTGTTCTTCGGAAACATATTTCGAATTAGTTAATGAAATTCAACAAATGAAATCTTCCTCAATATCATGTGATCCACAACTTATCGGACAAATGGAATCTTATCGTTTAGAATTAGACAAACTTCGATGTAAATAAATGTTGTTTTTTATTATATGAAACTTTCGTTTGTTTGAAATTTTATCAATGAAATAATAAATAATCATACCTGACGAACGTATTGTCATTGTTTATTATAAGTCATTTTACCAAAAAAGGTGATTTCAACAAATGCCAAATAAGGCAAAGGCAACTAACACTCAATGAGTCACAGCCGTATGTTTTGCGTTCTGTTCTTTTCTTCTATATGAATTCTTTTCATGAAGAGAAGAAAATACCATTATCTTTTTTCTTTTTCCGTACATACTCTGGTAGATATCTCTCTTGCCGATATATTTCTTTTCTTTCTAGAAGAAGAAGAGAATAACAGCATCGTGACATAATATGGCATTATCGATGGAAATAGGACGATGCCTGATCAATGACCTTCCTGAACTTGTCTTAGTTCATATTTTCTCTTTTTTAACAATTGATGAACGACAAGTCGTCGAAGAAACATGTAAACAATGGTATAATCTTCTGCGAAATTCTCATCAGTTGGCATTTCACTCCGTTGTGCAATTGCACGCACTGATTGAAGATGTTCCGGTGCCGACAAAACTAGGTCGGGTGTTACCCCGATGGACACGATTAACTCGAGACTCGTCGAAACCAGCTCAAGCAATCGATCCGAGACCGTACGGTTATATTCAACAATATCTGAAACGATTTCGAAGTGATATTAAACATTTACATATCGATGTTGAACAACATGATGTTTCATGTCGATTTGTTCTTTGTCAACTTTTGACACTTTTTGGACCGGAACAATGTTCTCAAGGTCGACAGATTCGTACATTTTCCGTTCGATTTATAAGTCATAATCCATTATTAATGAAATCTCAAGATATTATTCAAGCTCTACGAATCTTTTTCCAATACGACGCTTCGAAAAATCATCGACACTCGCTGATCTCTTGTGATTTGTCTGGTCTAACCATCTCCTTAGATGATGATACAATCTTATTGTTAACGAAGAATAATCCCTGCTTACGTAAATTAAATTTACAAGATCAATCTTTAGTTTGTATATTAACTCCATTTTGTATTTTACAAATTATCGACATGCTGAAAAGCTTGGAAGACTTATGGATTGATATGGTATCTTTATCAGATGAATTTATTTTAATGTTGGTTATGGAAGAAGAAAATGAACAAAAGACAAGTAAACGGGCGACTCTTAAACATTTGGGAGTGAGAATTCGACGTGAAGAGAAATTCTCCGATGAAATAGATATAAGTTTGTGGCAAAAATTACGGGAAAAATATCCGCATTTGAAAATGACATTAAATTTCGGTTTGACTACTCCATTGAATCGTATTCGAGCTTATATGAACGCAAATTTACGTTTACCGGTACGTATTCATCGAAAATTCACAACTCTTGTCAACATTTTCCTGTCTTTTCAGGTGCAAACATTAATCATCAATACACCGATTCCAGTCGTCGATGAACTTTATCTAGCAGCAGATAGTTTTGCCGGTACTTTAGAAAATATGCATATATGCACATCAGGTCAGTGGGCTGCACTAACGCGCACACCAAATTTCACCAAAGCGGTGGTTTACATTGCATATCAATGTATTCATTTACGTACACTTTATGTTGATGTTGCACTTAATCCTGATGCAATTGAAGATATCTATCGATTACATCCACATTTAAAAGAACCTGGTGCAAGTAAACTTCTTCTTACTGATTGTCCAACTCATACAATAAATCCTGAAGACATGGGCGATCTATTTGGTTAAATAATACGTTCATTTGTTCTCCTTTTTCTAAAATAATCATGCTTGTACTTCGTTGATAACTCATATATTCATGTAAACTATGTTTTCTATTTTGAAATAATTCGTCAATCATTGTTTTGAAACAATCCCGTATATATCGTGTTTAATTCGATTAAAATAAGAAGCATTTGATTTTTTTTTATTCATCTTTTTTCTTATGAGTCGCGGGTTTAAAATAATAATCTATAATGTCAACAACAACAAAAGTCGAAATATTTTTAGACAAAAGTTTCAATAAAAAGTAATTATCTCCAGTTAAATGTTCCTTGGCGAACGCTTGAATCTGCTCCGGTGAACATCTATTTCGATCGATTAAATGCGTTCGAACATAATGTTCTCTGCTCTTATCACTGCTAACAAAACAATGGATTAAATGAATGATCCATTTGATAAGATCGAAGAATGTTATCACACCTAATAGAATAAACCAAATGTAAAGAAAAACATACATCTTCTCCACGATAATGTTTAATGGTAGAATACATTCGACGGTGTAAGCATGATTCGATGCTAATTCTCGAAATGTAAAATCACAGAGTGTGCGTTTTGGAAATGAATTTGTATCAATTAATTCCGTCACTCCCGACGTCATTTTCTGTGTAAATTGAGCGAGAAAATGCGTCTGTAATGATTTTTTTTCCAGATGATTGAATCTCGATATTCCCAACGGACGTTTTCCGATGATTAAGTGAATCAAACCAATTTGAAGTAAACAGATGAAAACATATAAACATTTCACTCCGATGTAACTGATAATCAGATAACACGAAGAAATTCGTTGACACCAGCGAGGAGTTTGAGTAAGTCGATTCATTCGATTCGCTTTTTCGAATAATTCCGATTTTAAATGAGAGAGTTTGTCTTCACGATACTCTTTCACTGATTTCTTCTTATCAAACGGTGGAACAGCATACACTTCACTGGCATTTTTCAACAAATCTTTTACATTTTGTCGACTACCTGACAATGCAAATGACCAAACCAACTTCGGTAAATAGAAAAGAACAGCTTGAGCTCCAAGAATCCATGGCTAATCAAACAAATAAACATAATCTTTAAACTACTCGAAATCAAATGTTCTACATACCAACCATTGATAGTAAATTATCAACGATTCATATCTTTCATTGATTGTCGTAGGAATTCGTCGATTGTCGGGGATATAATACGTATTATTTGCATAACAATATGCTGTTATCGCTCTTTCATACCTTTTTAACTGTGCTGGTATCCAACATATTATCGGCACCGCATACGACGTTTTTACACCGCAAAGAATTGCAAATAAACATAGAATTCCAACTGTAAACTTGTAACCTAACCGATCGACAAGGAAATCTTCTGCTTTTGCACGAACATTCGCAAACGATAAGATCCCCGAAAATGTATTTGCAATTTTTAATATCTCCATCAAAAAAAACCAATCGATCCTTGTCACAGGAACTTGTATATGTATGAACACCGTGCGTATTCACCTTCCACCACTACCAGTCGTGTACAAAAGTGCTTCTCTCCCTCTCTTTTTTTCTTCGGCGCTTCCCTAACAAGTTTGCCTCGATATGTATGTATGCATATGTCTGCTCACGAGTGAGCAAAGAAATCTAACAAAAGAACAGAACGAATAAAAAAACATTTGACGTAATATTTCATGCAGGAAAGAGAGATGGCCTGTTTGGTATGCAATTGGGCACATACACGTAGAGGTGGAGAAAAGGGTAAAAAAAGAAAGAAAGAACAGTAATTTTGTTCTGTCATTTTTAGCTCCTAGTCATATATAATTTTGTTCTCTCTCGTCGACGTGTTCTTCCCATCCTATCCAATTCAAGAAGGAAAAAAACGAGATGAGATCAATAATCAGATGAGAATGTCGAACACCAATGTAAAACGACTATCAATGTATCATTACTGTCAGGCATCAACTTTACTCAATGCCGTGTTATCGTAAAGCCAAACCGATAAATTTGTTTGCGATTCAAAGAGCAAAAAATTTTATTAAAGCAAAACGAAAGAATTAACAGAATGATTTATTTTTCCTCGATTTTTGTGGAGTGAAAAATCTCGTCGAACCAGTCTTGTTGTAATGGAGGATATTCGTGTGATTGACAATTAACATTTTCGACACTGATATTGAAGAGTGATAAGTTTGGACGAAGAGAATATCGATAATGATCGTCGTCGCATTCTTCTTCTTCGATGTAATTGTTCACGTAGATATTTTCATGATAAATGTGTTCTTTCGACCGATGATGGCTGAAGACTACTTTCGAAATTGGTAATGGTGGATGACGACGGAGTATTGGAACACTTTGCGGAACAAAATTGACATTCTGAAAGAACACAAATAGGAAATGTTTGGGTGAAAAGAAGGAAAAGACTTACTTTAACCACTGTTTCGGTGGGTTTGACTTTCTTGTTGTTGGTTTTGAACGTTTGTTGTGACTTTTTCGATGTGAATGAGAGTGTACGGGTAATCCGTGAGACAATTTTGGATAATGATGAAGAAGATGACCATTTCGATGATTTATTTGTTGACATATTTTCAATTGTTCAGTGAAATGTAACAAGAACTGGAATATGCAAGAATATAAACGGAAGGACAGCTGAATGAGCTTAACGAAATTTTATAGGACAATTAAGACAATGTCTTTTGATTAATTTCATTCATATTGGTGTTCTTTTTTTTTTAAGAATGAACTAATTGGCTCAATTGACTTTTTTGATCATCTTATCTTAACATTGTTCTTCGTTCGGTAATTGATGATCAACAATACAGAACATATGTATTTGCTTGAATAGGATAGAGTAGCTCGGAAACATCTGTATGGTGTTAGATAATGTTTGGCTTGAGGAACCGAACGATAATTCCAATTACGTGTGTTCTGTTCAATGTGAAACTGTGATTTTAGATGGAGTGAGGAAAGAAGCAAGAAGAATTTTTTGTTTAAAGATTCAGATGAACTCAAAATAGGTATACAAGGAATATGACATGATTTGTTCATATTGATATGTACGGGATTGTTTGATTTAGTGGGAAATTGTTTTAATAGGTGAGTAAATCGAGTTCAGAATATTGAACAAATTGGCCTGTGCTGCGTTTGGACACAATCAGAAATCGATAACTGGAATACCAAATTGTATTATTTTGTATGAACATCGTGACACCCCAACTGGTTCGTCCAGGATCGATGTCAAGACCAGATGAACCATTGTAGATTAACGTCCAGCTGGATCCAAGCGTTAGTTCCAAAAAAGAATGGTTACTTCCTTCAATAGTGACAACCAACGGATCACGTTCTGGATAACTATTCGGTGTTGCAAGTCGAAAGGCTAATAGCAACGAAGGACCGTGTTGTGGAGAGAAATACACCCCTGTATTTTGACCACACTGAGTCAGATTAGCCCCTTGCGTGACATTGCAAGCGCCGTAATTGATGTATTTGGTGGAAAGAAAGCCATCAAATAGTGTTGTTGGACCTTGAGTGGAAAAATAATTACCTGTACTAGTACCAGGTGATGATGGATAACTATCATGAGAAGCACTTGTATTCCAAATACCGTAAACAGTTGCATTCCGACTGATTACAGTTGACGGCACTAAAGAAAAGTATCGATTTTGATGGAAAACTTTATTAGTTGTGAATGATAAAAGTTTGATTTTCATTTTTATGCATACCAGGCAATGTTTTGTTTACGAATATGAAAACGCTGCTCATTTGATCCGTTGTTATCAGCTTTAAAGTACCTTGATCAACAGATGCTAGGAAAAGAAAGCAACTCTGAGCGATACCAGAAAACATGACAAGAAGACATTTCGAATTGTTAAAGCATGAACAAATACAGTTCATCGGGAATGAAACATTGGTGATACTTTCCAACATCGTATAATTATTGTTCGGGATGAACTTTGCATTACTAATTACGATTAAAGCAAATGAATATGGCAGACAGGCGATAATGATTACCCAAAGCATACTTCTATAAAAAGAAAACCAAATTTATAGAATTGTTCTAAGGTTTTTCTCAGCTCACTTCTTCTATGAAACAAATTATATTACACCTCAATGTATTCAATTGCTGAGAAGTATTTGAAATATATTAAATACGGAATACTTTTCAATTTTTTCTTTTTTTTTTTTTGTTGTCGTCGTCAAAACTTTATTGTTACGAGCATATATTTGATAGGTAGTTCTAGGTGTAAAATAGCATATTTTTGCATGATTTTATAATGGAATCTGTGACTGTGACTGGCACTGTCATTCATATAAGTGTTAATGCAATATTTAGAAGATGATGTTCTTGAATGTATGTTTGTACCAGGTCAATATGCATTTTAACCGTACAGTACTTCCTATTTTGAATGACGAAACATAAATAGCATTAATATTGTATTTTTAAGATATAAAAAGCATAAGTTTAGTCGGAAATGTTTCTTAAGTACATCATGATTGTCAAAACATAGAAGAATTGTCTAGTAGAAGCTAATTCTTCTCTGAACACTCATATTCCATAGATCAATCAGCTGATCGATGCGTTTTTCTTTCTGACATGTCCCATAACGAATTCTTCGACAAGACACGTATATGTTTACTTTTCGAATGGATTCGTGTTTACGAATATGTTGATAGTAAATATAAAATACATTGACTTTTTTTTGTTAATCAATTTTATTTAATAAATAAATGATAAAAATCACAAATTTATAATTCATATAAAATGCATCTAGATTTATTATGCATCCCCGAAATGAAAGATCATATATAGAATTTTTGTACAATGAATCTTCATAACGAGTTATCTTGTAGATACGAAATGGCATTTTGTAATTCTTGATTTTTTCTTTGTTGTTCTTCGATTTGATACTCATAGTTCGCTTTCATTTTCTCATTTTTTTCTTGAATATCTGCAATTTGTTGTCTTAAATTTTCGTTCACTTTCCGCAATTGATTACAATTTTGTTTCACATCATTATGTGCGTTTTCAACTTCGACTAAACTTTCTCTTTTCGCATTCAAATTCTCCCGACTTGCACAAATCTGTTCTCCAAATTGATATTTCGTCAGTGCATATCGAGTTTTATATAAAACCGTAATCGGACGTATAAAGTCGCTTAAATTTCGGAAGATTGAATACCATCGCCGCACTCTATACGCATCTTTCTTATCGATATGGGTATATTGAGATAAACTACACACATGTTCTGGCGCAGAATATTTATCTATTAATAGAAGTTTCTCATTGAGATAATGTGGTACATCGAGGAGAACACGATCGGATGAATCGACATCGTCGAATGTGATAAAACAGATACCAGCTGTACCTTCTTCTTCGAGTATTTTCAAATCACGAATTGTCCCGTATGTACCGAAATACGACCGAAGATTTCCATCCGTAAACAAAGAATCTAAGTTTCAAGTATATACATGCTGTACGGAACAATTTAATTTACCTGGTGAGCTGAGTCGAATGACGATTTCCGGCGAAGATATGAGTCTCTGACATTTTGTAATTGAATCCGGTAATAAGCGTTTGATAGTAATTCCATACTCATCATAAAATTGAGATCTTTTACTCATACATAAATCTACACACGCCTTATCATTAAATTCAATAAATGCAAACGATTTTCCTACAAAAAAAAAGATGCACGAATAATTCCATACTTCTATCATTTTCATTTACCTGCAAATCTCGCTTCTTTATATGACATGACTTGACAATCGAGAATGTATTGATTATCATTCATGGTTCCATGTTTGATAAAATATGCCCGTAGTTTTTCATTTGTCCAAAATTTGTTATCAAGCACACCAACAAATAGTTGACGTCGTTTGACTGACATTAATCTACAGAGCAGAAAAACATACTTCGATTGAAAAATACTTCTATACAAGAAAGAAATCGAGTTTATTCTGTTCAACAGTGAAAAAGACTGTTCAAATGCAAGAAAATACATAAATATCAGAAAAATAGATCGAGGAAAATGATCATTAGGAAACACAGTTAGTAATCTACCAGAAAACCAAAACAATGGACGGATTAAACTAATCATGAATTGACCGTTGATTGACTATTTCTTTGATATCTATGCATATACAGAGTAATAAAGCATCTTGTCGGATTTTCTTACTCACCGTCATTCTGTTTATCATTCACATTCGCTATTGAAACAAGAGAATTATTCTAGAAGAGTTCTGTTCAAATAAACGAAACTCACTAGTTGAGTTTAACGAACTATTGGATGTGCATTGACAATCGTCGAGTTTATTTCGTAATTTATCAAGATTCAATCCAAGGTCAGTTAAAATCTTTGTTGTCTAGACGAATTTAATGGCTTATTGGTTAGATATGAAACTTAAATGTAAGTTCTTACCCTATTGGATGAAATATATACAAAAGAAGACAAATCATCGAAATTTTTAATCAATATTTGAAACTGCGCAGTGTGATTGACAGTTTGAGGTTGATTCTTTCAGAAAGGAAATCAACAAGTTCTTTATTTTAGTCTCGATAAAGATGAATTACCCGTAGAGAATTAATTTCATCATTCCAATTGAGAATATGTTCATTTGCATCAAGCATTTCTCTTTTTTCTAAGTCCCGACTCTTCGATGGAAAAGTATCTTTCTCATTCAATAACATATTCAGTTGTAGTTTTTGTAATTGATTAGAAATCAAAGAAAGATTCCAGTGTTCCAACATATTCAAACGATTTTTCAATTGCTCGATCGTTATCAAAGCATTACTAAGATCCGCTTTTGAGTATCTCTTCTCCACTAATTCAATGACAAAGCAATGCACATGCAAAAGACAATACACATCAAATTGTGTTTACTTGCACTGATACGAACTGACAGATCTTGAACATTGCTTTTCAATTGAATATTTGCATAAATCAAACCAATACTAGAAGGAATCGATATCGTTTGACATTAGAATTCTTGTAAGAAAACATACCAAATACTGAGGAAAGTACAGAGGGTTAAAATGGTTAAAATGCGTTGTGAATATTTGCAAAATGAAGAATGTCGAGATGTGTGTCTAAACACGAGAAAACTTGTGTAAATCTTGGAATGAGGAAGTTTATGCATTGAACGAACCGAGAGATGGAAAGTTTTTGTTCGGGTAAAAATAATTCATCTTCAGAACTTCGGAGAATATCATCGGAACGTTTCTTAACCGGGCGAAATTTCAATAAACTGTCCAATTGTTTCCGTTTTCGTATTTTTTTATTTGAACGACGTGGAATGTTCGACGATAATTCATTAACTTCTAAATCTTGAAGAGTATTAGCCATTGGGATCAGGAAAAGATTTGTGCTGGAATTGATTTTAGTTTGTATTGAATAAATACGGAAATAATATGAGAAATACCAATCAACATATAAGTGGGGAAAATATTTTTATGATCAAAGTTATTTATTTAAAATTTAATGAAATGATTAGCGGAACAAGAACATTTGTATTTTTTCATGTAAATAAACATCTGCAGAAAACAATCGAAATAGCGATTGAGTTTTTTTTCATCGTAAATTCTGCATTACATGACATGTGTAGCCAGTAGAATACGGAAAGATAGAGGACGGTAGAAATCAGAGATTTGAAAGAAAGAAATGTAATCGGAGATAGAATGACTTCAAATGAGAATAGGAAGTCATTTCGAGCATTCGAAAGATTTGGTCCTTTCTTTATCATTTGTTGATATATTTTCCAAAATACTCATGCAGAACATACTCAGAAATATTCTTATCTTTCGCTATGATTATCTACTCATTTCATACGTTTTGAAACAACTATGGAACTCAAATCATCATACACTGAAGAATAGGAACCTTGAAGATGGGAATGCTCATGCTCTCTGCTGGAGTCAATGGTCATTTATGAGTTAGGCAGTGTGGATTCTAAGTTTGAAGTGTTCTCGGATACACTCGAATATATCGTAGTAAGTGTTCTAGTTAAATCTATTCTCTGGAGATATGATCGTAAGCCTTTCTCTTTTATGAGAATCTTCGGTAAACTAATATAACATGTTGGCTGCGGTTACTGAAAAGAGTGGTATTTGAGATGAAAAAGATGTGTCACATTCTTGATCTAGTTGAGAATGTAGTTTTTTACTTCTTTGACGTATCTACCTTCTATTCAGCACCTGTATCATCCATCCGTATGACTCATAGATAAGATAGTGTCGAATATTGGTGATGCATCTTGGGAATGATTTTATTTACGAAGTAGCGTTGATGATGATTATTCATGTTTTTCAATTGCAACGTAATTATCATGGAGTAGCCATTAAAAGATAGACGATTTCAAGAATCATATGAACCTGTTGATATGTACACTAGAGTAACTAATAAAAAGTGAAAAAAAATTACATCGATTAGTACTGTCAGACTTTTGTTTTTCGTGAACAATGACTAAGTAAACATGAGTCATGGAAAACTTCAAAAGTCGTTGTTGAAGACTATGCTTGACCATGATACACACAGAGAAATAGTTTTCTATCAGTCTTTGTTGATTCTGATAATCTATAATTAATGCTAATACACATATAATATGTTCACTAGACTATTCGATAATAATTGCACCACATTGCCATTTTAAAGAGCAAAAGTTCGCCAATTAACAACAATTATGCGAGACCATTAGAATGTAATTAGAATCATCTGCTCTTTTATATTTATACAGACAAGAAATATGTTTTTCGGAATCTAGCCGGTCATACCTATCCAAGTACGATGATATAAACTCACATTCATCGAACATGGCGCAACAATTGACCGTGTCATATAAAGTGAACTAGTCGCATCAACCAAAAGAACAGTTTGTTTTTTCATTGATCTTCATATATTATACATCATTTTTTATTGATAGAAGTTTTACATAAATATAGATTTTTTAAAAGAAAAGAACTTTTTTTGGATGATTTCGCTTTCTCTGAAAATTAATGAATTAGCAGCTGTTTTGCTATAATTTATTATTTGACACACACGCACACATTTCACAGCAGGTGGCAAGTATCAGACTCGTATTCGTCATCGTCTCTTGTATCAAGAAACAAAAAGCTATGATGTAAAAAAAGTGCGATAATGACTGTTTTCTTAGAAGAAATTCGATCTTTTTGAAAGTCTAACTTATAAGAGATTACTAAGTGAATAGGTCAAGGCTTAAACAAACGAACAATGCCGATGATGAAAGAAGAAATATTTCTACGATGTCAATTCAATACAACTACTATTGTTAATATTACATATAGATCGTTATCATTTGAGTGAAAAAGTCGATCTATGTCTAAAACATCATATGACTGCGAGAGAAGAAGTTTATTCACATTCATTTTCTGATAACAACTTCTATTTGTGATCGTTTGGTCGATAAAAATACCTATTTAGATTTGTGAGATGTTCTTCTAAAAGAATATACGTCTTGTTATCATTAGTTTTCTGTTTGACTTGTCTAATTTGTTTTTGTTAATGTCTATATTTTCATTCTGCATCATTTCATTAGGTCGTGATGCTGGTTGTACACAAATACAGAAGATTTCATCATTTTGTATTTAGCACGTCATAACCTTTCTCAGTATGATAGATCGAACATTTGATTTCAAATTAGCCTTTTTTCTGACATATTGATTAATGAAGACCATTTTCGATTCAGCGTTGCATTGTCTCTGTATATCGTACTGTAATCAATCACTGCTTTTAGCACAGAACGTTTTCTAAGGTATTGTAAAACATTTGGCAGAAGGACAGTTTGATATGATGGACAAATAGTAATACATCGCGTAAAAACGAAGTTATTCTTCTCAATCAATATCAAAATAATACATTGACCTTTCTATTTTCGTCTTTTTTTCATGTTGCTTAGTTAAACAGATCTCATAGAGACATGTATTTTTTCTCTACATCAGCATGAATAAACAGTAACAATCGACTAGGATATATATCTATCTAAGTCAAAGATGAGGCAAAAGGAAGGAAAAAGAAACGAGACAGAAAAAGAGATTGGTTGATACTCTTGCTATGAGAAGATATGGACAAAAGATTAATTTCTGTTGAGAACTGATGCGTACATACCCATAGTTAGAGAAACAAACAATATTTTTCTTCTTTTCCCCTCGCCGATGATCAACAAGATTCTCTAGTTCTTCGAGGTGCTGATAGAAAGAAAGAAAGAAAGAAAGAACGGCAAAAAAAGTGAATCGTATCGGACGTATTGATATTCTCATAAAAAACGCGCCGACACCGTTGCACGTACGTTTATCGAATGGTGCTGGTACTAACTAATAATTACCGACGACAATCTGGGTTCTCCACAATCGAAAACATCATTACCAATTCATTCTTCAACATATCGCCAGCCAAATCCGACTACAGCCATTGGTCTTTCAAACGTGCCATATGATGTTATTGTCTCATCATCTCCAACTCATCCATTACCTACCTCATTTGAATCGTCTATTGATAATCATATAATTAACTTTGAACAACAATTCGATATGAATTACGTTCCACTGAATCGAGGACGAGAACAATCTCCCTCATCTCCAGGTCCTTTTCATAATTCGAGTACTTTATATATCAATCAACAACGACCTGTGCTACATTTACCTCGACCGCGATTTAATGTCACTGTCAATGGTCATCTTCAAACCTCTCCAATTCATCATCATCATCATCATCAGCAACAACAACAACATCATCTTCCGCATAGAACGCATGATTTTTCTCGAATTACTATTCGAGCACCGGATATTCGTCCGCCAAGAACTCCAATGCCATTTCATAACGTAATGTCAACACCACGCGCTAATACTCCAGCAGCGCCAGCTATAGCTGACGTCCATCGAAAACTAGCTGCATTGACATTACGTTTAGAAAAAGAACTTGAAAGTGAAGCAACAGTCGATGAATATTATGGACAATGTACGAAGTGTGGAGAACCGGTAACAAGTGCATCAGAAGCTTGTCAGGCGATGGATGAACTTTATCATAATGATTGTTTCAAATGCGTTGTTTGTTCTCGAACGTTACGTGGAAAAGCATTCTATCGTGTACAAAATCAAGTCTATTGTGAAGAAGATTACCTGGTTAGATTATGCATATAAAATATACAAAAAAAAATACATATTTTCTTGTTTTAGTTCACGGGTTTCCAACAAACAGTAGAAAAATGTTATATCTGCGATCATTTAATCATGGATAAAGTATTATTTCTTCGAAGAATACTTCTATGGTTGATATTTGTCTCTTTCTAGATGCTTCAAGCCTTGGGTAACACTTATCATCCTGGATGTTTTCGTTGTACAGTTTGTAACGAATGTCTCGATGGTCTTCCATTTACTATAAATAAAGAACGGCGTTTATTCTGTTTATACGACTATCATAAGTATGTAAATATATATTTTCAATTTTCGAAGATATTCATTATTTTATTTCGAAGTACTTACGCTCCACGTTGTGCTAAATGCGCTTTTCCAATCTGTCCAGAAGAAGTGAGCGATTGAACACTGATCTTATTTCATCTCTGTTAATTTCAACTAGGGTTCGGATGAATCAATACGTGTTGTTGCAATGAATAAAAACTTTCATGTTGATTGTTATCGCTGCGAGGTAAACCATCACTTGAACCATAATCATCTTTCTTTCGTTCATTTCCAGGATTGTCAATGTAGTTTAAGTAATGAGCAAACAACAGCTGTATTAGGCGGTTGTTGCCCATTAGAAGATGGAACGTTATTATGTTATCGCTGCCGAATACGTCGTGCTGGTACGAGTGATAATTAGATTCTTATTAATCTTTTTCTCAAATAACAGATTATTGCCTGATTTTTCATTTATTTAAAAATAATTCATTAAAAAAAAAAGAACAAATAAACTAACTGAAACGTATTTCATATTTATGTTGAGTAAAATATCTTCATCGGTATTGATTTTTTTTTCTCTTTGTGTTTCATTATGCTTATCACGAAGAACTTCAAGCATCGAAGCGAAGATAAAAGAACTGGATATTGAATAGAAAAAGAAAAACGAGAAAACGACATTTTTTTTTGCAGAAAATTTATCTTGAATCGTTCGCACCGATTAACTGACTACTTTTGTATGAGGTTGATCAATATTGAACGGAGAAAATAGTTCACAGAATTCTTTGTTTTCCATCAGTAATTTAATGAAATCTTTCGAGCGTAATTCAATATGATCGAGATCTTTTCCTTCATTAAAATGTTCTAATGATGCTTGTAATTCCTTCACAATGCGCGTCGTATTTTCCAGATCATCTTTCGCGTGAAGTCGCATGACAATCTATTGATCAAATGGAACAGATTAGTGAATAAAAAGTGTCTGAACATACCTTCACCATGCGATCAATTTCTTTTTTGTTAATTACTCCATTATGATCGTGATCATATGTTCGAAAGACATATTTCAACTTTTCGCGTGCACTTCCAGTTGATGTTAAAGCAAAACCGATTAAAAACTCGCGTAGATCTAAATGGTTTGAAGAATGTTTTTCTTCAAATGACAAATTTTTAGTCTTACCGACAATGCCATCGTTATTGGCATCGAATGCTTTGTGAATATCTGTTGCTAATTGTTCAATTTGTTCTTCTTTACCACTGTTAATACTTCGTAGAAAACTGACTGTATCTGATTTGGAAATTTTTCCGTTTGGACATGCTGCCTATGGTGAAGAACTTTGGTAAAAACTGCATTACTTCGCGAAAAAACTTACTTTTAGTTTATCGTACCAAATTGTGACACTCTCGTGATCAATTTTAGCTCGACTAGAAATAAATTTGATATCCTCTTCGCTTAATTCAGCTAATGATTGTGAAGAACTTCCACCCATATACACTAGATGTATTTAAATCGACAAGGAAATCGAATAAATTTGAAAAAAAAAAGCAATCTAGAAAAGCAAAATTCTTGTTTAAAAACTCATTGCGATTAATTCTTGATTAGAAAAAATAGATATCACAGATTAGATATTACTCTTCTCTCCAATGTCCTGTCTTCGGGTTATAAAACAGATGTAGTTCTTTTGTGGCATTGCTCAAAGGCAGTTTCACTGTATACTTTGGTTCATTATAGTGTCCTTGCCAATTCAATTCGATATACACATCCATTTGATCGTTTCGATCAGTGAGTCGGATCTTATGAACAATGGGATCTTCACGTTGAATCGCTTTCGAATCATATTTCGCTTGTGTTCCTTCGCGAACGAATATTCGTATTCCTGAAAAGAGTGAATACGAAATATCTTGATTGAGATCGAGACCTGTGACAGAAATCGTTTCGTTCTCAATTTTAATACGGATTCGTCGATGAAGTTCCCATTCAGGTATCGGAATGTCTAATTTCGCCATTAATCCTCGCATGAGATCATCACAAAGCGCGTGAACATTCTCAGTAGCTAACCGGGTTAGTGGAGTCGACTGTAAATTTCCAATGATCAATTTTCCGCCATGGCGAGCAACTCTTTCCGGAATATCTGCAGCGGGAGTTACTCGCAGAGAAGAGCCTAGAGCGAGACAAACATCAGCACGTTCAGCATGTTCAAAACTCGTTTCCAGTTCGTATTCAGGTAAATTCTCGCCAAAATTTATAATCGAATCGTATAGCGGTGAACCACATTTTGTACATTTTCGATCGGTTACATGATCGTGAACCTTTGCAGCGCTACGCGTACGAAAATCGCGTAAATATTTCGTGTGGCATTTCTTACATGTTTCTAAATTCGAATTTCCATGTAACTCCGCTAATAATGTTGATGGTAAACCAGATCGTAAGTGAAGACCATCGATATTTTGTGAAACAACAAAATGAAGAAGATTGCGACGTGCTAATTCAACTAAAGCCATATGAGTTACTGATGGAATGGCTTTTGTTGACGATGTGACACGAGCTTTGGGAGAACGCTTAGCACCGGGATGATCACGAAGTTCCCAAACGCCTGGTCCCGTTGGCAAAATTGTGTTCATGCCAGATCGAAAGTCTGGAATACTACAACGAGAATGATATGTATAAGAACGGCAGAGAAAACATTTGTATTTACCCAGTAGATGTGGAAATGCCAGCACCTAAAACAGATTAGATCTTTTATAGTTTGTTTTGTAGAAGACATAACATATTCGCCTGGTTGTTTCTCGTCCTTGAGACAAAGTGCGTAGAGTTTCTTCGTCTGCGATATGAATAATCTTATTCCGTCTAGCACTCGAATGCTAATCTCGTTCTTTTTCTTTGACAATCCGAGAGAACAATTGACATCTCCTTTTACCTAATATAAATCCAGACAAATCGTTTTAACTGAATACGTCGAAGTCAAGAATTCTACACTGATCAAACTGTCTAACCTGTGAACACGATAAAGTGTTTGGCATTTTTTATCCAATCAGCTAGTTGATCGAGTTTCTTCTCCAAAACCTCCGGTGGATCGACGTGTTCTGTTTTCGTCGGATCAGTGTCGGATATTCCATGTGCCATCGTGTAATCAACTGATTATCTAAAATTGTTTTCACGTTTATATACATATAGTCAAACATGAGCAAAGAATAATAACTCAAAATCTCCAAGGAAACGACAAAAAAAAACAGAAGAAACGCGTCAGTTATTTATAAGATAAACAGAAAACAAACATGAATGAATTTCACAATGAAATCTCAATCAAAAAAAAGGAAAAAGAGAAAAATTGTTTATTTAAAAGGAAATCAATGAGAGAGAGAGAAGGAGAAAATGAATATATCAATCTGTCACAAAGAGAACAGATCATTTAGAAAATAGTAATATGGACAAGAACAGTAACAACAATGATAATGTCTACAAAGTCGAAATCACATCAGTGCATATAGCCACGCTATAAGGTCAAACAAACAAGAATGAGGAGAATATTGCGAACAGACAGAAGAAGAAAAGTTGCCTTTCTGTACATGTCTCTTTTATTCAAAGAATGATTTGCTCATCGAGAGTTTCGAATAAATACGAACGGTAAAGATATGTATATGTTTGAGTATTAAAGTAAAAAAACATGAATGAAACTATTTGTGTTGGTTTTCTTAAAATAAATTAAATGCAAAACAAACAAAACACACCGAAATACGAATCGATTTGAAATTGATTATTCATGTTTGTATATTACGGATGTGTTGCTTCAATATTCATCGATGTTAACGAGAGACTATTACTGTTGAGGGATGAATTCGTTGACAGGGTTGATGAAGACGAGGAAGCAGTGGCTACATTATTTGTTAATTGATGATTGATTGAATTGAATAAATCATCGAGTAGTTGTAAAGCACGATGAATTTGAATTTCGATCCAACACGGCGTTTCTTTTATCGATTGTCTAAACGAATGTCAGAGAAATTTAACGAAATTAACGGTAAAGACAAAGCGATTTACCTTGGATAATCTGGCCCCCATCCTTTAACAAAACTAAGTCTTAACACACATAGACGTCGCATATCATCAACACTTAAATTTGCTGAGGGTGGTATCGTTTGAGTAAGAGATGATTGTTGCATTCGAGAATGCAGAGCCATTTTCACATATTGATCCATTTGTGTAAAACATTGTTGTAAATCAAAAACCTAAATAGAATATTGTTTTATGACGAAGAAAATTTTCCCTGCGGAATCAATTAACATACTTTAATACACGCTTGAGGATATATTTTATGAACTGCATCACCCGGCGCACGACCAGCTTCTCGATCGAGATAATATGATTGAAGAAAAACAGCTTGATCACTTCGACATCGTATCCATATGTCACCTTCGTTTCGGCATTCGATACGAATACCTTTTCCGATATGAAGTCGTGCTTTTTCGCTCGTTTCCGTACGGTGAACGTTACTTAATGGTCCTAGACAAAACCGACCACCGACATTAGCCATGTCCATACCACCGTCGACAGTGACTTCTTTGAATGTATCAGGCACTTTGAATGTTTCACCAACTTGCACATCACGTTCGTAATAAGCAATGCTACACCAATATTCTCCAACGTAGTTGATTAAGGTCAATGGTTGAAGAGATGGTGCAGTTAGACTATTGGTTGGAACAAATGAATGTTGTTGCCCTGAAATAAAACAAGATTGTTTCGAATTTAGATGAATAGATGACACTTCTTACATAAATTAACCGCAGGTGGTGCTGGCTGGCTCCACAGAGGAACAGATCCATCTGAAAATGAAACAAAAACATGAGTATACACTCGAAGAATTCTTAAGAGGATGATCAAATGTATTGAATAATGGTCTGTCATTTACATTCAAAGTAAATTTACCTTGTGGAATTCTTGTTGGTGGAAAACCGTTGGTATTGGGAACAGCAGATCCATTCGTTGGGTAAGGATGTGGCGGACTTGGACTAGTAGTATCAGGAGCTTGATGTTGCATTGGCATCATTGGTTGAGGAGAATTTTGATCATCTCGATAGTCTACAAAAGACGATTCATTTTCAGGAATCAATCCAGAATATCGTTCCTTCTGTATACCTTTCATATATCGATATCCTTCTGCTGTAGGATACATATCACGATCATTCGATGATGATGGATCACCGTGGCCAGACATTTGAAAACGAGGTACTAATGGCATTCCGGCTAAATCTGTCGAGGAGAAAAGGTTAAAAAGTTTCATATTCGATAGAAAACGCAGCAAATAGTTCTTACCAATTCCAGGAGGAACAACTCGTTCGTAGTGGTATGGATTTACTACAAAAATCAAACTGATCAGATTGAATGGACAGATGTTACAAACCTACCACAAACATGTTCTTGTTTAAGATCGAACGCTAGTGGACAAATTTTCAAATGTTTTAATTCGTTTTTATGTAGGTCAGGCCAACGCCATATGCGTGCATAAATAACATGTGGAAAGCCTTTCCGACCGGCAACCTGGAGAGAAGAAGAAAGAAAAACATTGTCTTGTTTGATGTAAAAGGAGAATCTTTAATGGGACAGACTTGCAATCGTCCGTCAAGCGTTCTTTGGATTGTCACACATTTCGTAGGAATTTGTCCACTGGAAGTAATTGAGGTGACCAAAGCATCGAGCTCATCTTTCTTATCTTTCAATTTTTTAACCAAACTAAAAAACGAACAATGAAGATTTGCTCTCCTTTCGAATGTTTCTTTTACCTTTCAATCGCTCTTTTGGAAAATGTTTCGCTTTCACCATTTGTTCGTTGCCGATGGCATAAAAGATTGGCAACTATTCCATTACAGGCCTCTGATGATGTTCCATTACCACCATTTGAGGATGAAGCTCCATTCGATGGTGGACTGTGTGAGTGTAGTGGAGGTGAACTTGACATCATTCTTCCAGAGGATGACGATGCACCACTAATTGATAAAGATGGATGACTCAGAAAGTCCACTTTGTTATGAGTAAATCAACGTTGAAATGACAAATTTGGCGTGCGTATCAAATACGATTCGAATTTGATAAGTATTCGTTTTTTCGTTTCTACATTAATGATTCGGCCGATAGGCGGAGTAATAAACAGAATATAATAAATATCGATCGACACCATATGACATGTCCTTTAACCTTTACTGCTTTCTTTTCGTTTTGATTGTAGTGACCTCTATTTTCATTGGTCTTTAGTTCTCTTCGTACTGGATCTCTCGTCTATTTGGATAGATTATCTATTTTTTTCTGATCGTCGACAAAGAAAAATAAGCATTAGGAAAAAAAACATGCTCGTGTAAACAAACAGTCGACCAACGTTGTGTTGACAACCGATTCATACAATTAAGATGTTATTTCTCATATCATTTCATTCGATATTTTCAGATCAGTATACATTCAATTGATTTTTCAATCCAATGGCGCAAGGAACTTTATCACTCGGTGGCGAACGTATTACAGGTATGAAGAAAGCCTCTTCAAGACGCATTTTAATTTGAATGATTTTCGTTTCTAGGCGATTCAGTCCGTACTCAAAATGGTTCGTAGTTTTTTTTTGATAAAAATCTGTGAAATGACTTGTTTTTCTCTATAGTTTTGGCAGCTATGGCCATTGCCAACATTGTCCGAACATCATTAGGTCCACTTGGTCTTGACAAAATGATGGTTGACGACATCGGAGTAAGTATCTGCTTTTCGCGAAATCGAGTCGAAAAAGTTAATTGAAATTGTGCGTAGGATGTTACAATTACAAACGATGGTGCCACAATTCTCAAACTACTTGAGGTTGAACACCCTGCTGCGAAGGTTTTAGTTGAATTAGCTCAACTACAAGATCAAGAAGTGGGCGATGGAACAACCAGTGTCGTAAGTTTGGTTTTCTTGCGCAAAAGTTTGACTTTGTTTTTCTCTTGCAAAGGTTATCATTGCTGCGGAATTGTTGAAGAATGCTGATCAACTTGTAAAACAAAAAATCCATCCAACATCGGTGATTAGTGGTTATAAATTGGCTTGCAAGTGAATAGCGCGATTTCTCTCGATATTTTCGTTGCGAATAAACCGGATTTGTTTTCAGATTAGCGGTGAAATACATTCAAGACAAAATGGTGATCAATGCCGATGAATTAGGCAGTGAATGTTTATTGAATGCTGCTAAAACATCCATGGCTAGTAAAGTTATCGGAATGTAAGTTGAATTTCTCGTCCGATCAAGGAAGGCGCGTTCGATTCTCTTAGGGATGCCGATTTCTTTTCGAAAATGTGTGTTGACGCTGCGAATCTAGTTAAATTCAATGAAAAAGACAAAGTTGTTGTACCAATCAAAGCGATCAATGTGCTCAAAGCACACGGTCGATCAACACGGGAAAGTATTTTAATATCAGGTTATGCATTGAATTGCACGGTGGCATCACAATTAATGACAAAGAAGATCAGCAATGCCAAAATCGCTTGTTTGGACTTTAGTTTACAAAAAGTTCGAATGAAATTAGGCGTACAGATTGTTGTCGAAGATCCCGAGAAACTTGAAGCGATTCGTAGACGGTAAGAAATGAGGAAGAAAAACGTGTCTTCGGAATGTATGCATCGTGGGTTTTGTTTTTAGAGAAACTGATATCGCCAAAGAACGTGTCGCTAAATTACTCAATGCTGGAGCCAATGTTATTCTAACAACTGGTGGTATTGATGATCTTTGCTTGAAACAATTCGTCGAAGCAGGTGCCATGGCTGTTCGTCGTTGTAAAAAAGCTGATTTAAAACGTATCGCCAAAGCTACAGGAGGTAAAAGAAACTTTTCGATGTAAATTCACTCATATTAGAACAATGTTTCCGTTAGCAACATTGTTAACCGCTCTGGCCAATATGGAAGGTGATGAATCAGTTGATGCATCTGTCATTGGTAGTGCCGATGAAGTTGTTCAAGAACGCATTTGTGATGACGAACTCGTTCTTATTCGTGGACCAAAAGCACGTACAGCTGCATCGATAATCATTCGTGGTGCAAACGATTTCATGTGTGATGAAATTGAACGTTCCGTTCATGATGCATTATGTGTTGTTAAACGTGTTCTCGAATCAAAACAAGTCGTACCAGGTGGTGGTTGCTGTGAAACAGCTCTCTCAATCTATTTGGAAAACTTCGCTACCACAGTTGTACGTATCAATCGAGTTGACTGACAAAAAACTCATCTTTCTTTGTTAATCTTTTAGAGTTCACGTGAACAATTGGCTATTGCAGAATTTGCCTCCGCGCTTTTATCAATTCCTAAAGCATTGAGTGTTAATGCTGCACAAGATGCTACGGAACTTGTTGCTAAACTTCGCGCCTATCATAACGCATCTCAAACCCAAAAGGATAAAGAGCAATTAAAATGGTTCGGTTTAGATCTTCAAGCTGGTAAAATCCGGGATTGTAAATCCGGCGGTGTTTTCGAGCCAGCTATATCGAAAATCAAATCATTGAAATACGCAACCGAAGCGGCTATAACAATTTTACGTATTGATGATATGATTAAACTCGACAAAGAAGAAAAGAAAGGTCGACATGGTGATGAATGCATGTAAACAATGATGATCAAAAACTCCGAAGAATGAATTTTGAAAAAGAAAAAGAACAAAAATGTGTGACGTTTTCTCTTGTCGTGTGCCATCTTGTTATCGTTTATTGTTGAATTTTTTTCTTTTATTACCTACTATCATTGTTACCGTCGTTTCTATTCCCTAGGAAAAAAAAAGAATTTCATTCACACATCAACGTTTTATTCTCGACTTTTGTCGAAGGACGTGACCATGAAGGTCAAGACTAATGAGAAGTTTTCATAAATGAGTCTAGGAGAAGAAAAAGTCTATGAATTTCAAATGATCATTTGATGAAGGATTACGATCGAACATCGATGGATATTCTATGAGTATAAATAGAAGGAACTTCTATTGAATGCGAGTGCGATGGCGTTGATTCAACGTTATTCAACTGAACTAGCGACTCATGCTGCCGTCAATCGTCAAGTTCAGGACGAAAAACAATCAATTGAACAAGTTTTGCACAATGTTTCGACGGTCAAACGACAAGATGAGGATGAGAAACGTTATCTACATTCGCTGAATGATCGATTGGAAGATTTACTTCATGGATTAGAAGATCTCGAGCGAGCCAATGTGAAACTCCGGGATGATTTGAACGCATTAATTACAAATTGGGGCATCGGCGGAGAGAATCGTGACAAACTCTTAGAAGAACTCGATGAAATTATTCGGCGTTTAGGTGATCAAAATCGCCGCAAGGTGATTTTTCAAGCCGAAGCGAAAATCTTCGATGAACAAACTGAAATAATCGATCGAGTTGCCGTCGTGTTTATCGATATAATCAACTTATATCGTGATAAATGTTCTATTTTGTTCGATTTAACAAATGAATTGGAAGAAGAACTACGAAAAATTCGTCTTCGACTCGAAATCAGCAATGCTCAAGTCAAATCTCATGACGATGATTATATAAAAGAATTAACAAAATTTCGCACGTATTTAGCCGAATGGTCACAATTAGAATTAGATAAACAATATCTCCTAAACGAAATCCAATCGTTGAAAGAACGGTACAATCTACGTTTAGCGTATAATCAAGAGGAAATCAACGAATGGCAACGTTTATTAAATCGAATTTCTCAAGAATCGAAGAATTACTATCGAGATTATCTAGATACGATAAAACAACAAATTCAGATGGATTATGAACAAATGGCTAAAGATCAACAGATGGATATTGAAGTTCAATTAAATACTCGTCTGAAAGAGATTCAAGACAAAATTCATTTGGGTTTACCTCTTGATGAAAACGGTTGGCTTCGTTTTTTCTTTGTTTTAGTCAGAGAATGTTTTTGTTTTGTAGATGAACGACGACGTCGAGAAGAAACTCAACGTTTCGAAAGTCGACTGGAAGAAAGCACAAAACAATACGATCAATTGCAAAATGAGTATCGTTCACTGTCAGAAGAAATGCAACGCAAACGACGGATGTTACAAGATTTAGAAAATGAATTACGAAACAAATCAAGAAAGAATGCGGAGCAACATGCGCGACTTGAACATGAAACTGACCTAACACGTGCGGAGTACCAGGCATTGAAAGATGAATTAGATAAACTAGCCTACACACTTCGATTCAGTGTCGAGGAAGAATTAAGAATTTACGAAGCTTTGTTGAATTCATTAAATCGTAGAAAGGAAAATCAACCAGCTATTGATGAAACAACGAAGAAAACAACGACGACGACGACACATTATTTCGATTCGAGTAGTACCGGAGGAAGTATTTCCGACTTTCGACGATCACAACCGAATCTAACCGAAACAACACGTACATATACAGCTGAATATCGACCGACACCATTATTAAGAGATACGACAACAACAACAAAGCATTTTGTTGATACACTGACGACAGGTGGAGATTCGTTCGGATTTCGACGTTCACAACCGAATCTATCTGGAGTAACAACTACGACAACAACAATAAAACGACAGAATGAAATTACACCAATACTTCGAATTAACGAAGTAAATGCCCATGAATTGTGTCTATTTTTTATATTGATAACGAGTCTTTTTTTTCCGCAGGTAGAAAAACCAAGTAGTCATTGGACTTATGAGACACTTTCATCGGGTGAAACCTCGTCAATTCGTGGTGAAAGTACCGATCGAGATCGTTCGACAGAACGGCCACTTCTTCCCGTTCGACCAGATGCTGATCTGTATGGTATTCAACAAAGTTCACTCGATCAGAATCGAACAACAACGACAACACGAACAACACGACGTTTCGGTCACGGAGCAACCGAACAAAGTACAAGCAACGTTCCTGAACTCGACGAGAAGTTTCTCAAAAGTAAAATTCACATCACACGAAAATACAAAGGTACAAACAACATTTCACATCGCTCTAAATCACGAAGCGTTTCATTCTAGGAAATATTCTAATCAAATTTGTCGATGTCAGTGGTCGTTTTGTTGAAATTGAAAATACAGGTAATCAACCACGAGATTTAACTGGTTGGTACATCGAACGAACAGTCGATGATCAACGTCTGGAATATACATTCCCAATTTATGAACTTGGCCCACATCAAATCGTTCGAATTTATGGAAATTATCATCGTCGATCATCAGCGAATGCAAACGATCCACATTTACAATTAATCGCACCGAATTTTTACGATTGGGGAAATGGAAGACAAATGCGCACAGAATTATTCAATCGAGATGACGTAGGCAAAGCATTATTCGAACAAACAATAAAAGATTAACAAAAGAATTTGTATATGAATTTCAAATTATATCTTGCTTTTAGACAACTTTTTTTCTTTTTGGAAATATAAAAAATAACCACGGCATACAGATCAGATTGTCTTAGACGATTAGTGCAGTACTCCATCCGAGACACGGGCGAAGTGCACCAGTTTGTGGATTTTGACCAACGCCAAGAAATCCAGCAATGATCTTCATTTTAGTTTCATGACCATTATCATCCAGAACAAAGTCAGTTTGAGTGACACTTTCATCAAAATCTTGAAATTCAATACCATTGATCAAACCCTAAACAAAACCAAAAGAAGTTTTCGTTTTCACTAACATAGAGAAAATCTTTACTTGTGTATAATGCCGATGATCACGACGAGCTTTACGATAATGTCCTTTCCCATCCGATGCATACCTAGAAAAACACGGGTTGGATTTTTCTTTTGAGACTAAAGACGAACTTACGGAACAAAGTCAGCTAACCATCCAGCTAGCATACTAATATCAGATCCACCTCCGACTTTATGGCAAATCTTTTGCCACCAGTCGATATTTGGTTTACCTTCAGCACTAGATTTTAATTCTTTTAAATGCGGTATAAGTGGATCTAACCACCAATGAAAATCGGTAAAGATGGCTCGAAGTTCATTAACCCGATCGATAACTTGTTGAAAATCAGCTGGTGAACCACGAAGTGTTACTTCTGGAATTCCACAACAAAGACTAAATCGATAGTCATAATAATTTTTCACACTATCCATCAAAGTACAATCGAAAACAGCTTGTTCCACTGATGTTGTAGCAGAGAAAGGTGTAGTGATGATTGTTGTCAAATCAGCTTTCATATCCTTTCGGATTTCTTGTCCCATCAATCCAACTGCAGCAGCCCAATCGATAGCAGGTACAGATTTATTTCCATTTTTCGGTCGAGCAGAATCTGGTATGCGAAGCAAATCAACCGGAACTGTTAACGTCTTTTTACCTTCATGAGCGACCATCAATTGTCGATATTTTTCGGCATTTTCATTCAAATGAATACTAATTCCTTGTGCAATCGCGACCCAAATATCTTCAACGCTAAGTTCGAGTGCATAGTGTTCGCAATATGCTTTGAATACAGTAGCAACGAAAGCATTTCCAACGCGATGATTTTTTCCATTCAAATCGGCCGACAATGGATAATTTGTTTGATAATTCTCAAACGATAATTGGCATCCTTTTCCTGACCATCGATTTATATCTTCTTGTGTTAATTCATCAGTTTGCACATGTTGCTTTTTACAAACCTCGACTTGTGCTACGGAGAACGTTCGTGTCGACATATTGTTTATCGAATAAACTCGCGATAGTAGCGCGTATATTTAAAAGAGAAAAACGCATGAATCATTATGTGAGTCATTGATTTAGTTACATTTATGTTGAGTAATCTCAGCAGTTATCTTAGTTTACAGTCATATCAAGGATGGGTGGTGAAAATATTCGAACTTGAAATGAAAAGAAATCAACTTCTGTTTGACATTTTCGATTTGAACAAGTAGAAGTGTCAATTGCAATTTTGAATTGATCATACTAAATATACTTTGATTGAAGCATGTTCACTACTCGACATGAAACTCAAGAGTATGAATATATGTGTGTAAAAAGAAGAGATTTCGTTTTATGACTATTCATTTCATCTGGCATTTAATCGTTAAACGGTAACCGAGGAAAAAAAAACGCGACGAAGTTCAAAGAGAACGTAAAAGAGAGAAGAAAAATTGTTGTTCTAATCTCTATCTATCTGTTGAATGTATACCGAACATGATACACTATTCACATTCCATTTGATCGCTTTAGTTCAACCATCGTGTGTATAGATTTCAATGTGAGTCGTTGTCTTCTTCGTTATTCATTTTTTTTCTTCTCCATGTATCAAGTGTTATCAACAAAACCGTTTTTTTCTCTCGTTCTTTAACACACAAGCCAAACACGTCTATACATACGTAGTTTAAAATCGAGAAAAAAAAACGAACACACACGCTTACTGAATCGACTATTGTATTTTTTAGATGGCACATGCTTTTGACAATCGAAATGTCTTTACAAATAATCAAGAGAAACCATTCATTCAAACATATATGAATGGAAGTGATCAATGGGAAAGATTATCGTCATCGCCAACATTAAATCATCCTCCACCGACGTATGAAGAAACAATTTTTGATAAAACTAAAACCAATCCATTATCTAACTCTCAAGAACAAATATCAATAACATCAAGTATTACTCATCTATTTTGCTTTCTGAAAAGGGTAATTCATCGATTCGATTTTAGACGCTTATTCAACTCAACAAAATAATGATTTCAAACCACCACCACCACCATCACTTCGTGTCCCTCGATTGACATCAACAACAAATCATAATTATATACATCGTTCCAATCTTTTACCTCAATATCCAACCAATGGAATGAAAACTAGTACAACTTATTTGAATACCACTCAACTTTATATAACTCAACCATCCTGCCAAGATCATTCTCCTCCACCACCACCGCCACCTCCGCGTTATCCTTTGTATCCGCCTGTTATTCCACCACGTAATCAGAAGAATTCGGTAACAATTCCGAATTTCAATTCACCACAATCATCGAAAACCATTTATCGATCACCAGTCAAATTCAATGAAATCGAGAATGCTCTTTCGAACGAGAATGACTCAACAGTTGGCGAATATTTTGGTAGAAATATTTCATTGATCCATAAAATCAATTGATTGTTTTTGTCTTTCCCTAGGAGAATGTCGAAAATGTGGAGAAATAATAACAAGTTTAGATGATCCATGTGATATACTCGGCGAAACGTATCATAGTGCTTGTGCAACTTGCGTTGTATGTGGACGATCAGTGAAAAATAAGCATTTCTTTGTTAAAGATCAGTTATATTGTGAAGAAGATTTTCTCGTAAGAAGAAATTTCGGTTGCGAACGAAATTGATGGTTTGATTTCAGTACACAGGATTTCATCAAACATTAGAACATTGTGTGGCGTGTAATCACTTGATAACAGATACAGTAAATGTTATTGAAGAGGTTTTGTAAGATACAAACATGATTGTTTGTTTAGATTTTACAAGCTTTGGGTGAATCGTATCATTTCACATGTTTTCGATGTTCGAAGTGTTCGATTTGTTTGGATGGTGCTCCATTTATGCGAGATAAGAAGCGAAATCTGTTCTGCGTACGTGATTATCACATGTAAGACAACACTTTTTCTATAATTGAAAAGAATAATCGTATTTGTCAAGGACCTACGGACCACGATGTGATAAATGTTCGGAAATTATCTTCCCGGAAGAGGTAAAATTGTATATTTATGTCATATTTCATTGCTTCGAATATGTTCTTCAGGACTCTAACGAAACAATTCGAATAATTTCAATGGGTAAAACGTTTCATGTTGAATGTTATCAATGCGAGGTAACTAAACTCGATGAGAATTTCAAGGCAAATGTACAACTAAATCCCTCTGTTTAATGCAGGATTGTTCAAAGCAATTAGGCGATGAACAGTATCGTCGTTGTTACCCATTAGGTGACAGATTACTGTGTCAAGAATGTTGTCATCAACGTTTGAATACTCTCGATAAATTTTAGTAGAAAATAATGAACTTGTCTTTGTCAGATAGATATGTTCAGATTATTTTTTTTTGTTGCATTGAAAATAAATATCGATATCTGCTTGAATATGATGAAAAGATTGTTTTTATGAGAGAGGTGATGTGACAATTTCAACACCATTTTTCTTTGGAGAGTATATTTTCTGCTTCTAATCATTTCAATTGATCAAATTATGAAAAAAATTGCATATTTTTCGTTTCTTTTTGCAAAAAGAAAAGTGAGTTGTCGGTCGTCCTGTTTTCAATATGATTATACATTTTCTTTTTTTCTCGATTTGCTTTCAAACAGAACAACGATCAAAAGAAAGGAATCAGTCACGCATGTAAATGGTTCTCCTCGACAGTCACTTTTATATATACATGCACACTGATGTACATCCTTTATATTTTGACAAATATAAAACAACCGCGTGCCGCTTGCTTGATTCTCTAATTACTCATCTGCATTTGCTGTTCTTTCGGCAAGCTGTTTGAAAAAAAGAGTGAAGAGAGGGAGAAAAAGAAAGAAAGGTAATAACTCGATTTACGTGTATACTAGTCACTGACTCTAATTCTATGATAAACATTGCTCACACGAGTTTGATTACAATTAAGAGAGAACGAGAGAGAGAGATTTCTTTTTGTTTAAATAGATAGACAAATATATGCATTCGAAACTTAGTGAGTATTTTCGTCCGTCACGCTCCTACCATCATCAGCAACAACAACCATCACCACCAACCATGCATTATAATGGATATTTGACATCCGAAGAGTCAAATTATTATGGAAATGACCCATTACTCCGATTTATAATCATACGTCATGGAGAACGTATGGATAACACTTATGGTCATGGCTGGACACAACATGTTTTCAATTATCATGGACAATATTATCCCGTCGATGGAAATATGCCTCCAGCATTGCCAATGCGCTCTAATTGGATAGATTATGAAGCAGACACACCGTTAACTCGAAATGGTTTACAACAATCATGGAATGTCGGAAATACTTTAGCGAAGTATAATACTCCCGTTGTCGCATGTTATTCTTCGCCTGCTATACGAAGTGTTCAAACAGCAGATCAAATTCTTGGTGGAATGGGTCGTAAAGGTAAATAGGGAAAAGCTTTTATCTTAGTTTCAATATTTACTGATTAGATATTCCGATCCGTCTTGATCTTGGTCTTTTCGAATGTTCATCTTGGTATTCCCGTGTACCGATCAATTTCATGTCTGATCAAGAATTAGTTATGAATGGTGTAAATATTGATCGCTCTTATCGTTCATCATTGAAAAATCTTCGACCATTAGAAAGTGAATATCAATATTATGATCGTTCGAAGGAAATTATGAAAAAATTAATCAAAATACACGGAAAAACGGGTGGAACTGTTTTGATTGTTGCGCACGCGCCAAGTCTCGAGGTATTGACACGCCATTTAATGAATGGTGACCCGAGACCTGATCAATTATTTGATCTTGCCGGTCGAGTTAGTTACTGTAGTATGACAATTGTCGATGGTAAACCATCGTCAAAATCATGGCAATTTCGTCATTCACTGGATGAATTAACCAATTGGTATCATCAACAAATGCATGACGGGTCAAATAACATTCCTCCGCATTTCTCACCTTCAAATTATTCTTCATCGAACGTTCCTTTGAATTACATGTCATCATTACCAACAGTATCACCGTATCAATATTATTCTTGATTGAATAGATATTTGTGTTCAATAGTTTACTGTATAGTATTCATATCTCTCTTCACAATAAAGATTCTGTTCATTCTTTGCTTTGATCATTCGAAATCCGAGTTCTTTTAAGTAAGAAAGTCTTTTTTCACAAGTCAATCAAGGAATAGAAACAAACACAAACACATTCATATTGAATCGAAAAAGAAACGAAGAAAAAGTGTATAAACAAAGCACCAACTGCGCCTTTACGAAAGAACGAGAGGATCTTTTCGGATAATTATATACATTACGAGAACAGAATGAATAATAAATAAACACACGAAACAAATGAGAAACATTTGACTGAGCCATCGAGTACGAGAAATCGAAAGAATTATTGTCTCAATCGAACAAACGGATCCGTTGTTCGATTAAATAATCTTTTATCAATTTGACTATCGAACATAAATCGACCACATTGTTCTCGTTTAAATAAACGCTTTCCATCGACCATATAGTGAGCATAGCGACGATGTAGAACAGGATTTAATGTTAATAACCGAAGAGTATCATAGACCATCTGACGAGATGGATCAAGTTCAGAAATTAATCTCAAATAAGGTCCATCCGAACTTTGACGAAATGTACAAGCAAGATTATTGATGGTGATATTCAATTTGGGTACTATTCTACCGTATTTATTCATACATAACCAAAATCCCGAGAGATAATTTTGTATTTGAACACGACTATAAGCTCCGACGGATCGAAAACCGAAGATTGCTAAAAGAAAAGCGAATCAATATTGACTTCAAGTTTGAGAGGAAACAAAAACAGAAAATGTACTCGAAGGATCTTGTCGATTTTGTACTACAGTACGATAAGGTTTTACTTTTGAAAATCGAAGATAAAGAGATCCAGGTAAAACATTGCAATGAAAAACAATGCGATAATATCGTGTCGTTGCTAGTTGAGATCCATCAGGTTGTCGATGTACAAAGCTCACTATTGATGAACGATAACGATGATTTGTATCGAGTTTATATTGAACAAAGGATGAGATTGATTGTTGATCAATAGGTAAGGAAAACAATGGCTGAAAAAGTACAAAGAAAAATAACAAGTTGGTTAATTAATTTTCGATTTGTTTTTTTCGTCTTCAGTGATTTTCCGAATGAGTTTTAATTAACAATTTTATTATTTGTTTTCGTCCAATAATTATTTTCGATACTTCCGTCTATAAAAGTCAATCGACCTTGTCATTCACCGAAGAAATACACGACGTAACCACGTCCGTATTTATTGACAAAGCATGATATTATTCCGATTAAATGTTCATCATGTTCGTTTATATACACATGATGTAACTTCTTCATTCACTGATTTTGTATAAAGAATGAACTCTGAACTTTTGTTACTAGTAATCAATTCGATCAGTACTAGTGAACTAAAGCGAACAAATTCGAGGATAGATTTTCACTGCTGATGTAACTGTACTCAATTTCTTTCTACTTTCTAAACTATTATTACGATTGTTATTATTATAATAACATATTGTTTACGATCTTTCGGATTTCTTTCTCTTTCACTCATCGTTAAATAGCTGGAGAATAGCAAAAATACGATTGCTTTGATCAAAGTCAGTTTTACTGTGTTTTAAAATAACAATATTATCACAGTAATTGTGTTGCATTTACTGAGGCGATTTTTTTCTCGACTCTTCAATAGCTCGTTTCGAGAGAGAATAGACTAATGCATACAAACATGTGCACATTCTTTACATAGTATTCGTAGCCGGCGAATTACACCTGTGTTGTCACCGTTGTTTCTGCTGATGCTATTTCGTTGCATACCAAATGTATGCAAACAATGTCAACGTTCTTGATAATCCCTTCGATTTCTTAGGTATAAGAACAGAAGAGAAAGAAAATAGCAAAATAAATATGAAAGTGGAACGAAAGCGAATACTATTGAACAAATGTGATTGTATTGAATGATAGTAAAAATATGAAAATGAACATATGAGAGACAATAATTTGTATATATGTCCTAAGATATCAATCGAAAATGAACGAATAGGATGAAACATCGTCATTCTTATTATCACCATTTTCATCATTAAGCCTTGACAGGAAAACTGATAGCCCGCGCTATTATTGATCGTGTCAACGAGAATACAAACATGACTTGATGTAAATTTTCTTTGATCACAATAAACAACGTGTTTTTCTAGTTTTTAACCCTTGTAAAACAAATCGGACTACGGTAAAAAATATAACTGTGCTCGGAGTTTCACTTCCCCTTTTTTTTTCTTCTCTTACAAATCTTTAATTCAAATATTTATGATCTGCTATTCAAATATCAATAGACATTGCCATGTGAATGTTGACACGCGAAATTCTCAGTAAGAAACTTCTACTACGAACTAAACTTTATCGAATTGATCTCAAATCGAGATGTTCACATAAGCCATCATGTTTGGCAGATCATAAATTGTTATGTTAACATATGGATGAATTCTCCTTTAAAATGTCTAGTAGTCTTCAAACAAGGTCGTGTTTGTGTGCAATGAGCCAAAAAAGAAGGACTCTCATAAACTGACAACAACGAAAGAAAAAAAAACATGAAAAACTTTGAAACGAAATTTAATAAAACTTTCGAAGGTGTTACTTACCGCAGTGGATAAACTGGCAACGAAAATCAACAGAAATATTAGTCTTCTTGCCATCCATTCGGTGGAATAATTTGAAACAACATTAGAATAACTGGTATAATGATAATTGATCAATCGATATTGGAACAGTCAACACCAGAACAGGAAAACATAGCGTCATTGATATAAACACACACGCATATACACGAACACACCTCCACACAATTTCAGGGACACAGAAATATTCAATTGAAACTGGAAGAGAAGATGCGAATCTTTGATCAGAAAATGTGTTACGTCGAGTACCGAGTAAGAGAAGAGGATTTACGTGTGTCTTTTGCTATTTATAAAAAAAAATCGTACATAAAAAAGAGAATCGAACAAGAAAATTACATTCACTCTTTCTCGCTCTCTCTCTCCCCTCACGTCATCATTTTCGTTTCATACATAGACATGTATGTGCTCTCCCTCTCTTTCGCTCGCTCTTTTCTTTAGTGTTTCATCTAAGTAGAACATTATTGATGGGTAACAAGACAAAGGGAGATGGAGAGAACGCAAGAGAAGTACAACAATGTTCTGTTTCTCTCTTGTTCAATTGATTTTTGTGAGAAATCTCGATTGATAAGTGTGAATGAGTGATGAGGAGGGAAAGTGTGAAATCAATCGTCATCAGAATGTATTAAGATTGAACGAATGACACTCTCACATATATAAATACAATTTCCCTTGATAGTCGAATACGAAAACATCGTATACCGATGACAATATCGCTGTTACCGATGATGATGATGATGGTGTGAGTGACATAATCAAGTCATCAGATATAGACGAATACATAGTCCTCTTCTGTTATCAAATTTCTTGCGTTGTCTTACATTATAGGTATGTGTATTTGTTTGTTCTCTTGTCTACATATACACGTCAAGTTTTGATAATCATCATCAGTCGAAATCAAGACTTGTTCAACCCTGAACTTGTCTTTCATGCGTACAATTTCATATACACATATTCTGATTGATCCTTTTGCAGATAAGAGAAAAGAGATCGAGTTTCAATTAATTGAATAGACCAAAGTAACAAGAGGTTTAGTTTTCATTTTGATTACTCTATCATGTTTGTATGTACAACTATTTGATTGTTTTGACTATTGACTCAATCCAATCACGTAGAGAAGCAAAAATGAAAAGAATGTACTACGGAACTGATTCATTTATTTATGATCTTATTCTCACACTCACCCACTAGAATTTCAAGAGCTTAGAAGGCGACCAGTTAGACATTGATGAAGTGTACTCTTTTCATTCTGCTTGCAAATCAAAGATAATCAAAATCGATTCGATAAGTTTATTGTCTTAATTAAAATTGACAGAATCAACATACACATGCATGCACATATACCTAGCAAAAAGTATGGTAAATAATAACATTCGTCGATATTTCGACGAGGAGAAAAGGTTTAACTCAACAGGAATCATATGGTGAATCGAAAAATAATTACAGGTTTACCTCTCGCTTAGTACACATAAAACAAGCATAAGAAACAGGGGCTTTATTATTTATGTTCTGATGCACGTGAAACTTCAATCGGACATTCAAAATTCGATTAACAATACCGATTTATGCACCTATTAAGGTCACATTGTCAAATACATTGCTTCTCAAATTTGTTTTTATCACACATTGAAGAAAAGAAGAGACCCTAGAAGTATATACTCTAGAGGTGTATGTCTTGTTCAATTGTGCGAGTTCTGGGATATGTCTTTTCTCAGCGTCACCACTTTCAACTACCGACAGGTCAACGAGACAAAACGAGAATTCATAGAAATTCAAAGTCAATAGTTTCAATTGCGCATAGAAAATTTTCTTTTCTTTCTTTTCTTATACACATACAAAGAATAAACGACTTGACAGACTCGATGAGAATATTGATAACTGACGTATACTTGAAAGCACTTGAATGAAAGATATTCCAAATAAATATGACAACCTTGAATATATATATGTAATAATACTCAATTACTACATGGTAATATTTTATTACCAAATGAATCTTTCGTTTTTTTTTGATTTTGAATGAACATGATCTAATATCGAATCATTTTACAAATTTAGTCAAGTATCATTCATTATTCATATGATAAAAATCGATTGCGTTAGAGTTATTAAGTTAACAATGAGTTGGATCTGATTTCTCTTTCAATTGAATTATTTGTTGCATAGTTGTACAAAGAAATTTTGTATTGTATTGAACGATAAGAGCCAAGGTCATAGAAAATGAGCCGTTGATGAAATGTGATCCGAGTTGATAAAGTTTGATTACTTCATGAAAATTTTCTTCAGAAAAAGAAGTCCAAGAGAGATGAAACCTGTAATTCTGTCTTGATGATAATTTATAGAACGTTTGCCCTTGCTTTGCTTCTTTATTATCAAAAGAACAATTGAAATTTGTCATTTTTATGAATCAAATAATCTTCACACAGACGTTTATTAACATAACAAATCTGTTGCATAGTTTTCAAAGACTGGACAGGGAAATTAAAAACATTAAATCATTCGCATTTGTCAGCAAATGTAATTGTGACATGAAATGCGATGAGTTTTTTCGATCGTTTCTCATTCAAATTCTATTTTACCATGCTTTTTAGGAGAGAAAAGAAACAGTCACATGAAACGACCTGTGTTCCATAGTGATAATCAAATTGAAAATATTATTTTCATTCGAAAAATAAAGAAATGTTATATAAAATGTGGTGTTTGAGTTGACACGAGATAGTTCATTCCATTAAAAACATGCGAATGAATAGCTTTTTCCTGGATAAAGCTTGACAATCATTTGTGGAACGTCGAAAATAATGTCTTCACGATGTTGCAGACGTCAAACGAAAAAAAATTCAGATCGTTTATCGTTTTGTTTTCAATTGAATGATCAACAATAATTTTCTTTTCAAAATCTAATGGTTCATTTTGAAATATTTTGATCGTTTTTATTAAAAACTGGTACGAGAATAAGTGAAATAGAACTCGTTGATGCTCATGTTGTTTTTGATTGTGAATAGTTCCAAACATTCAATAAATTCGCCTGCGAATGAGGAAATTGACAACAAATTAAAAAATGAATAAAAAATTTGAATTTTACTCAATAGTGTTGAGCATTAGCGTGGTATATGTTGATGACGTCATAAATGTAATTGGCGACGGCTGTGTTATTAACTTTTGTAGAATCAAAACGGACTCATTATTCGTGCATATTTCCACCACGTGTATTTACAACAACAACAGCTGCAAGATTTATTGAACGAATTGTCAATGTAGTTCAAGAATCGTTTGACAATATCCGCTAACGGTGGCCGATTTGAAAAATATCGTGACGGTGGTAAAGTTCAACCACATCTGATTCAATCAGAAAAATGATGACAGCGAATCAGCCAAACAGCATATTAAAACATCGGAAGCTCGACACATTATGAATGCATTGAAAGGTCGTATCTATCTGATATCATCAATCATCTTCATTCTATCAGATAAATAAAGGTAAAGATAGAGGTAGATCATTGTTTTTGATGTCTCGCTTCGTGCCAGTTGCAACATGAAGTAAATTCCATTTTCTGAAAGAAAGGATTATACAGCGATTAAATCCCCGGCTCGAAAAACTTAAAGTTTGTCTGTCCTATCCAATCAGAGAGCAACGTTGCATAAATCAATGAAACTTATCTATACAAACTAGAAAGTGAGTACTTCTAAGGTAATCAAGGTCATGGACCTCGAATCCATGATTAGTTTTTCTAGATTTCAATCAACTAATTCGTTAATTAACTAAACACTAAATAGGTAATGAAAAATTTTTCGGTTGCCGAGTAAGTGTTGACCGAAGGGCAATCGAGGTCGGAGATTTCGAATCTGAGGTCAGATTTTAGTTATTCGTCGAGGTACGGCTTCTTTTTTTGCTCTTTCCAAAACAGATATGTTTCTGTATCTTTTCTCAAGTCCTACACAGGAGGTGGTAGGTTAAACACTATTCCTGGATATAACGGAATGCAGCCGAGAATGTCCATTTGTTTTTCGTTCTGCATAAATATATTAGAGGGACAACAAAGAAAAGGACATTTCGTCCGAGAACATTGTGAAAAGGATATTCTTGAGTGCTACCACATGATGTGTGCGAAGATAGTAGTTTAGACATTTGCACCAAAAGGCTTTAGTATATCTTGCATGATGACATTTGCAATTCAAGATATCAGAAGAAATAGAATGAAGTTAATATCATTTTTTGTCTTTCACGCTGCGACACATCGTGTCTTTCGATAAGAGTTTAGCGCATATAGATCGCAAAAAAGGTATGCATACAAACAAATAATAGAAGTCAAATTAGTGTGGTAATATGCTAATGATACATCGATTCAACTTTGACATATGATCACAAAATAATCAATATATGGCCAACATTGATATTCATTTTCCAACGTCGGTAGTTAAATAAAAGTTAGAAGAAAAATAAGAATTGGTCAAATATTTGTTAAAGAAATAATTATTTGAGCGTCAGAATCATTTATCAACAAGTATACCAGGATACCATCTCGATATGGCTCGGTCTACCACTTCTGATAGTATTTGCTCATCGTTCAACTCATTAAAAGAAGTAGTTTGTAGTTTCAACCATGCAGTGGTGAGTTGATACTCTGCATTAAGATATTTTGAGACCATTATATCGTCCATTTCCAGTTGCTCTCCTGGATATCTATGTGAATAAAACGAATATCTGCGAAATGTGCTGGCCAAGGTTCGACAAACACGTGTGGCTTTTTCTAACACCATTGGATAATAGATATGATTATCAGCCGCTGTAAACGCGTTTGACCATGTGAGGTGACCAGCTTGAATGAGATCCATTACCATTTGAGCTTGCACTAATGCTGCCGGGTAACGAATACTTTCTGCGCCTACAAACAAATGCGCAAGTTGGACAAGAAAAAGAGTCATATCATGGCACGCTTTTGGTAGCATGGGTTCCTTAAATTCTAAATTTTTATCACCATTTATAATCTGACGAATCCACAAAACGAAGGAACAATCCAAATACGCAGTTTGGTTACTAAGAAACAGTTGAATTTTTTCACCTAATTTCTGATATGTATTGGCTCGTGTTTCAATCTGTATGAGGGAACTGCATGCATTTGCCGTAATTCGGGTTCGTTCGATAGCAATATATGAATCGCCAATACGTGGAAACTGCCAACCGATATCGTGATGTTCTTCCTTCGATTTTCCAAAAATACTTTGTTGCAAATGCTGATTGCGATACGTACGATAAATTGAGCGTCGCGTCAGTCGTAGTGAAGCAATATAATCAACAGTTGATCGTATTTTATGAATGTGCATGGTTGGAAGACTGCTTCGCCGAATATATTGTTCGAATACCTCCGTAATTGTTCTGTTTAGTAACGAAATAAAATGTTGACGGAAGCTTATTGCCTCTGTTAATATTGTATCGTCGATTAGCTTTGAAAGCGATTCAATTGTGTCTGACTTGAATTCATCCATATATTCCTCATATTCGCGAAATTCACTTGTGCAAAAGGTAGCATCTTTTCTAATGTATAAACCCTGAATAATTGATTGCTCACCGCGGTTTTTCTCTCTATCAATCAGATCTTGCATTTGTCGTTCGAAGAAAATCTCTTTGAACCTAAGATTAAATTCTTCAAAATTCAGGCGTTCCTGTATTCGAAAAACCTCATCCATATAGTTTTGCTGAAATGGAGAGAGTTCTAGATCGTGAAGGTTGCGTTGAGCTGTTTCTCTTTTTGATTGATGTATGGAAATATGTTGGCGTTGTAGTGTAAAAAGATTAAGACGTCTCAGAATATCTCGCATTCTGTTCATTTCGCTAAGTTCAGCACGATGAACGTTTTCCAAATGTTCTGTCATTTCGTCAGAAAGGCTACGTGCTGTAATCGCCAATGGAGGATCTAGGTCGTCCTGTTCGATGACAGTAGAATATTCGACGTCTTTTAAATATTTACATATTTCCTTGTCAATTGCATCCAAATGTCGAAGTAGGTCGTCCGGAAAAGCAGTATCTGCTGAGATACACCTAATAACCGGTCGTAAGTTACTACCTAGATAATTTAAAAGTTTATCACGGTGTTGCATTACTGTTGCCTGATTTTGACAACTCATTGCTAATTTTTTAAAAGCATTGGCATGCTGTTTAATAGTAATACGGTCTTCAATCGCTGTTTTGAAGACTTGTTGGAGGGAGCAGATAATAATGTTTTCTGGTGGTAAAGAACATCTTGATAAATGTTTTTCTTTCCACGAGCGATAAGTACTTTTCACTTTTGCAGCATTATATAATGCCAACCCGAACGAATAGTTTATAAAACATACCAATAGCTGCATTACAGGTACTTGGCTAGGATTTTTACTACCATTCTCCACTATATCTTTCACACTGTTCACTTTATCATTAATATTAATTGATAATCCGTCCACGTCATCATCTTCATCTGATGAGTCATCATAAAACTGAGTAAGAGAATTTAGCGTGGAGTCAGCAAGATTTAACTTCGATATATTATTTTGAACGTGCAATACAGACATTTGTTTGTCTATTTCATCCATTTGAAAGCGTTTATTTGGATTCAGTGAGTGATTGTCTTAAAGATCGCTGGTCAGCATATTGTAGCGATAAAACCTAAAGAACAGCGACGTCTTGTGAGAGTCGCAATATGATAGAATCAATGTCGGTGTTGAAAATGTGCGCGAGTATATAGAACAAGCCTCTTTTTCAAACATAATATATTATGAGAACCTGACTGTTGTTTCTCTTTCAGTTCTGTAAAGATTTCGCTGTCAGTGAAGTGGTAACAACATGAGAAGAAAATCAAGAGAAATATACTCAACACACCTGATGCAAAAAACAATCTTATTTTTTGCATTTGTCGCGACAATATTCCCTTTATATTCTTTCTTTTTGTTTTTCTTGAATCATGGATACAACATAAAGAATACAAATTTGCTGTTAAATTTCATCTGACTTCTTTTAAAAGATCGACAGCGCCCGACGATTCCAATAAGAATCTATACTTCAATTTACTTTGTAACAGAAGCTTTCTAATGAAGAAAATAAAGATATCAATGATTGTGAAATATTACAATGAGTGAGTGTTCGTTTGCGTGTGTAGTTATTTTTTGAAAATGATCAATCGAATGCCAGAGAAACAATCATCAATTCAATGATATTTCTTCGAAACACCAAACATTCTATCAAGCACTGAAGGTTCACGACAAGTAGGCTCTAATTTAATCATCAAAATGGTTTGTTTTCTTAATTAAATTATGCATTGAATATCATCGAGATCGTATGATCCAGATAATTCCAAACATTGATGCTCTTTTTAATCCAACAACTGACAGTTGATAACAGAAAACTTGATTTTTTCATACTGACTTTCATATCATTCTTGTCTTAGGTTTTCTGTATATTCTCGCCTTCAGAGTTGTTTATATACTTCTTTTTTCATTTTAAATCAGAGAAAGTCGATGAGATGATCATGAGCAAAAGTTCAAAACACATGAACTTTTCCGTCCGTCGAACTCACATAAACAGAAAATATTATTTTCGTTTATAACAGGCAGGAGGAGAGAACGTCAATATATATATCAACACAAAACATTTCGTTACAGTGTATGTCAGTTCATTCCTGTGGCATTGAAGCAGCGTATTGTGTTCAAGTCTTTTCTTCTAACGGTGCAATTCGCAGTGTATCTTAATTTGTTGTTACTGGTAAGACAAATTGAGACACTGATTAGTGAATGTACTTCTTCGTTCATTTTCTGATACGATGGATTAATTAGACAAGTAACTATTGAATTCAGGATGACACTGTATTTGCAAATCTACCCTACTCTACTGTTCTTAGAATAAACTTTTTCCTTCATATCTTAGGCGGTAAATGGATAATCACGAGAAGGATAGAACCAGTATTTTATGGCTAAGTTATTTGCTCGGACGGTAATCGTTAGACAATTAGATTTCTTTGGCTCCGATCACTGCCAATGAAATTTTGAAAAACCTTTATCTTTAATCTTCTTGAAGAGATAAGTTTAAGAAGTTGAATTTATCAAGAGTAAAAGATAAAGTACCAATCAGCTTCCGAGACTTTGTAGTATCATCTTTTGAGTGAGAAACAGATGATCACTAAAGGAAATCTAATGCTGGGGTGACCACCCTGTTTTGATGAATATGGGAGTTTAACAACAAAATATTTTTATTTAAGATTTCAAATGGTCAACACATTGGAGAAATTACCAAATGAAATATTACTCAGCATATTTTCGTATTTAACATGGGATGAAATTTTAGTGTCATTATCCAAAATCAACAGAAGATTCGATTGTATAATTCGAACGTTGTTTTCATCTCGTGTCATTAAATTCACTTTCGATTACTTAAACTGTTCCTATGCCACATTTTCATCAACATTAATACCATTATTATTTGATTCATCAATGTCTTTTTACACAATGATAGAATCTGTTCATTTCGATGGGTGGAAGTCAGTTTCATTTGATTTTTGTCATCAATTGTTATTTCTCGACTGCAATGAACAAACTATTTTTCCCGAATCTTAAATCGCTTTCTATTTATCGATGTTTAATATCGACATCGTTACTGCAAACCCTGTCTTCGCTCATTCAACATCAGTTAAATCATCTCACATTGAAATTTGATCACGACGCAGTGCGTGTACTTAATAATGTACGAGGAAAGTCGCCAATTATCGACGACATAGGTAAGATGAAAATATCTAAATCAATACGTAGATGCAATTCATATTATAAAGTTAGTTCGATAGAAATATACATTAGAAAATATTGTCATTAGATTCAGCCTATTGTATCGTGAAAAGAGTTTCTTGTCGTTGTTATATCATAGTTCACTAGGTCAATTTTCATCGATATTTTGTCTTGGGAAATCCTTGTTTTTCGAAAACAGATTGATTTGAGTTTGATCTTTAAAATGTAACAGTTTAATTGAAGATGTAAACCATCTACGGTGATTTAGATGTATTCTTTTGTAAAGTCAATGATAGAGAAAAGCGTAAGTCTTTCGTTGCACGCATTTGAGAACATCAAGTAACAAAGGCAACTTACAGTCGGTTTCCTGTTAGAATAAGTTGATTAGAAATTTAGTGAGTCTAATAAAATCTTTCTTTTGATTTAATAGAACAGTCCAAGTGTGAAATGTCTGTTCTTCTACGTCAAATATTTTCTAGTCAATGCAAACTGAAATCTCTTTACCTTGATATGAAGAATTTATCTTATTGGGAACATATATGCCTAAAGAGACATTTTGATTGTTTCGACTACAATCAACATCAATTCCAATGTGTAAATTTATGCCGTTTACATATTCATCTTGAATATATGTGTTTCTTGGAACATCTTATTCATCATGTTCCTAATCTTGAAAAGTTGTCGGTTGTTTGTACACATTTGCAGCTTGATGAAGTACGTCGTTTGGATGTTGAAACATTCAGAGCATCAGATGAAGGTTGGATTTACAAGGTAAGACGAATGAGGGATATGTATGCTCTTCCAATGGAGCAAAATTCTACGATAACATATCTTGAATTTACTTATGTTGATTTCAACGATATTATTTACATACAAATTTAAATGAATTTCTCTATTATAAAACACTTGTTTTCATTGTAAACTAGGTGCCAAAATTAAAATATTTTATGTTGAAAAGTGGGATAGATGATGCTACTGAACTCAACCACTTGAAATGGCTTCTGAATAATCTTCGTCATATTAGCAAACTTCGAATCTATTTAAAATACCGAGTAGGATGGTTAAGAAATTCACACTCAAACATATCTAATACCATCGATACGAATTTTATTCGTCAATATTGTCTACCTGGGATATTATCTAATTTAAAAGATTTCTATCTTTATATTGGCCAACCATTCGCAACTTCAACGACTGAGATGGAAAGGATTAATGATGAATTTACAAACAATCTTTTGTTCCTTAATGGTCAATATATCAAATTTCAAGTTATTCATGATCAGAAGAGATCTTATCAACATATTTTTTCTTCCAATCTCGATCAATCGCAGTTTTTAGCACAATCACTGTAAGAGATTTCATCATTAAAAAGTTTCCTAAAGTCTTTTTCTATTTTATTTAGCGTTGAACAGAATAGATACGAATGCTCAGATATTCAAAACATTCGATTTGATTTGGATCAATCGTTTTGCCGAGATTTGAAACAATTTAGTAAATCATCTTTAAATATTTCATCGATCTCAGTTCGTCCAGGTAAGAAAATCAGTTAAATTATCCATTGAAAACATCTGGACAAGAGTAATTTACTTTTGTACTAAGTCTAGTGGCATAATCACCGGGAACAAAAAATGGATTGATCCTCCTGTAATTTGTTTTCCTGGCTATGCCATATTTGCATCCAGTCTGTGTAATTTGTAGCCATCAGACTAATGAGTGAAATCCGCATCTGTTCGTTTGATAGGACAAACCGATCTGTTTCGCCTCTGTCCTATTGTCTTAAGTTGCAATTCGAGGTCTTAGACTAAACAAGCAAAATCCGTCGTTTTATGTTCATCTTAGATGAAATTGTTATTCATTTGAAGAAAGCGACGTCAACTGTTGTCCTTGTTTTAGTTACTACTAGTATAGAACCCATACAATTGCAACCGTTATTATCAGCATTTGAGACAACGATCAATAATTTAGATGTTAAACTTCGAAATGTTACAATACTTCGATTTGGTTTTTGCAATGTTTTCATGATGCGTATGTACAATTTATCTCTTTTTCCAAAACTGCCATGCGGAAATATTCGATCTCTTCTCAAATCATTACAGTTAAAAATGTCTATTATTTTCATCTAAAGACATCAGCAATGCACTACAAAACATTTGCACTCCTTTTCTACTACTTCGTACTTGAAGATAAAACAATGAAGTTTTGAATAAGATTGTTCAATTGATACTCCCTGAGAAATAATTACATTCAAACATCAATTTTAGATCCCTGCCATCAATTATCAAACAGTATTAAAACGTATGTGACAATACTGGCTCATCTTGTTTCAATACCAAATCAATTGAGATCTCTATTTATTGCAAAATTTGAATGGCTATTATATTTATTTCAATATGTAAGTCATCTTGCACATTGAACTGATTTAATCAATAATACCAATAAAGTTGAACTTTCTATCACTTGAATATTTAAGTTGCATGTCAGTTCATAGAAAAAAGCAACGTAGTCTTTATTTAGGCTGCCGATAAATTGCGCAAGAATGCGTTGAACACTGTTCGGTGTATTGAATTCGGTCTCGCAAGCTGTAATTATGGGTCGAATGAATCGATTGGTTTAGGAGCAAATCTTGTACCTGTTCTTAGTACTTATATGCCGCATCTACGTATATTACGGCTTTGGAGACTTGATGATTTTCCATGGACATCGCGTAAGTATATTTTGAAATGAATCACATTTTTTAATTGTCATTTTGGCTAATCTTTATCAAAATACGATAAATAATCAACTTATTTCTAATGAGATAGAATCAAAATTAGTGAGATGTATCGAAACAATTTAATTAACCTTAACTATTTGTGCTTCTCGATGTCTTTTTCTCATCATTTTTAGACTTGTTAGGTCTATTTCGTTCGTAGTCAACTTACAGATAGAGTAGCACCATTATCCTAGTGATAAAAAATATGACACTTATCGATCTAGATACAATGTACAAAGCTGAGGTTGAATCTGTCTTACTCACGCTCAGATTTTCAATGAAAGTTTAAATTTATTTGTCATAACGTATTTAAACTGACCGTTTTGTCTTCATGGTTAATTTAGTTAACTAAAACTACAGTTTCAATGTTACTTGACTGTTGTGCATCGAAAAAAGCATATAGTTAAAGATAATGTATCAGAGACTCAGCTTTAAATTCACAAGATTACATTAATTATGCTAATTCTTCATTAAATTAAGGTGTGTTACTCCCTTTTGGCTTTTGTAAACCATCCATTTCGTACAGCTGGTGTTCGACGAATGCGTATCGAATGACATAAACAGATGAGCTTTGATTATTATTTGTCCGAATAAACAAAACTATATTTGGATTTCTAATATTGAACTTATTTTCATTTCTTTCTTTAAGTGCGACAAAAATATATAAAACAACGAAACTATGCCATGTTTATGCACAAGTGGAGATATTTTTTGAAAACCGCTGAATGTGCTAGTAGGTTTTGAGATCAATTCATCGAGGTAGTCCGATGATTTCGTAAAATTCTTATCATTTAGATGAACACACGATTGTTTTTGAACAAAATCTTTGTCAACTGCATGATCAATTGAAAGAATTGCTTTTTCTCGATATATATGGTGTCATTTCGGATATGAAAGTGGAATCCTATCGTCAAATGGTTCAAACGCGTTTTCCAAGTTGTCGAGTCTATGTTAAAACATCGAGATTTTGCCTTTGGTTTTGATTTGTGTTTTTCTCTAACGATTGTCTAACGTCGAAATCTTTGTAAGGTTATGGTTTGCACATCACATCAGCCATTACTGTTTGGCAATAGCAAAACTGATTTTTATTTTCTATTCGGTTAAGTAAAATATCTTTCTTGTTTTTCAAATGAATAAAGAAAAAATGACTCCAGCTTTCGTAGATCTAAATCAGCATAAACAAACATTTTGATAATGTAAAAATGAGAAATAAATGCTTGAATATAGTTGACTAACAAAAATTGAGAAACAGAGGAAAACAAAATGTGATTCTATCACCGATTAAATGTTTAGCTCATTCACAACGCTGGATTACATGCTTCGAGATACTATAGAAAGGCTTCATATACACAATACAACAGAAAAGGCTGGTTTAAATGAAAAAGAACTGTTTTTATAGGCCAACTGTATGCATTGCATTGGTTATTTTATCTACGATGAACTAAAATCCAAAGAATAATTATCAAAGGAGAAGAAAAAGAAAATTTTATGTTTACCCGGGCTTCGGATATGTTCCGATATTTGACCATTTTACCAAACGAGCGAGTAGATTTTAGTGTTCCTGTTTTCTTTGGTTCCTAGAAGAGATTCGAATGAGATCAAATTGATTTTCACTGCTACTGATATACTTTAGTAAGAATTTGTATTTGATTCAAATTTGGTTTCACAACAGGCTCTTCTTTTAATTCTTCATATTCAATATGCCAATCAACTTCATATAAACCAAGAAAGGAAATTTCCGTTACAAATAATAAACGTCTAAAATCATCATTCAATAATTTCTCAGCATATGGAATAATCGAAACAACTATACTTTGATGTAGCTAACAACCAGGATGGCGGACTTTCCGAGCAAGTTATATGCGCTACATAAGTATCAGTTTTCGCATATTTTCCATCGTGTAATCTCTAGAATTGAATCATAGGAGTAATCAATCTGAGAAATATTCGGGTAGAGTGATTATTTTACGTTTAGAATATAGAATCCCATAGCTTCATGTGAAATATATGGTCGAACGAGTCCATCACGACCCACATGGCGTGGATAACGAACACGGCGAACTACTTCTTCTTGTTGTGCAGTTCTAAACAAAGTCAACTCTATCACAATATATTATCGATGTTATCGATATTTTACCGTTTGATAATATCTAATGAAGTACTGGCAAAGTCGACGATTCCACCAGTTGGTCGTGTGACAAGACCAAGAAAACCTTTGCCTAAACCTTTGACAAATCCAGATGCACCACCTTCTTTTGCACCCGAAACTGGTTTAGTTACAACACCTGTAACACCATCGACAAAACCCTTTACAGATAAGAGGAGAGAAATATCATCATTTCTGATCGTTAGCGTATGAACTTACCATAACCACATTTTTTCCACCAACAGCAATGTCAGTTGTAGCGCGTGTGGCTGGTTCTTTGCGTCTGATTCGAGATATTTTATAGTCTTCATCGAATGTTAATGTAGCTAAACCTTTGCCAAGAACACCAGTAATTTTCGAAAATGCACCCGCAGCACCACCTACAGCCGAACCAACTAATGTTCGAACACCTGTTGCCACACCTTCCGCGAATTCCATGGGACCTTCAATTGCGCCCTATACGAAACAAAAGTTCGATATTTTCATCAACATGGTCAATGTATTTTACTTTGTAAGGTTCATAGAAGAATGACTCAACACCTTCAGCTAAACCTCGAATAACACCGAATGGATTGCCCAATACATCGAGACCAAGAACAAGAACATGGAGTTGTTTCATAAATTGATTTTGATAATGAGATGTAACTTCGTTAGTTAATTTTGTTACTGTAAAACGATCCTGTGTTCGTTCGTAATATCCCAAACTAAATGCAAGTCACATCTTAGTGAGAACTACCTTCGAATTTTCAAGAAAGGATCTCACCGTAAAATGACATCTTGTACTTCAGCAACATTCAATGTTTGTAATAAAAATGCCACTAATGGATATTCTGCTAAAAGTTCTTCACTTGCTTTTGATCCGTGCATTGAAAAACTAACATGAATCTAAACCGAAATGAAAATAAACACAATAGTTCATGTTAACGATGCTATTAACAGTACTTTTAATGGTGACAGATGGATGTTATCAAAATACATTTCTGTATCACCAGACGGACTCTCTGTTTGTGCTTTGATGATTGCATCGAGTGGTTTTTGAATTTGTTCTAAATCTGTGTCCATGTTAATGGTTGGTGCTGCGGCACTCTATATGAAAGTCTCGTACAGATTAATAACGAATCTTAACTCGAAGTACAAACCTTTTCTGCTCGTAAAAATGCTAGAATTGCGACAATTAAACCTTGATCAATTTTCACGGCAAATTCTTGAACGAGTAATTTGAAGTATTTGAATTGCATAACTGTGGATCGACTTGTTTTCGATTCCAAAACACTTAGCTCGATGAAAGGTTTTTCCGCATGATCAGTTCCTGTTGCTTTCGAAATCACCGGATAAAGAACAACAGGAAACATTGTATAATCAAGTTGATTATCAATTTGAACACGATTTATACGAATATGTAAAGCAGCACTCGTGACCGACCAAGCATATTCAATCCAAAGACCATCTAATGCTTGTCGTTTGGCTACTTTTCGCTGACCTTTGGAACTGATTAATTCAGCTGTATCACCATGAAATACGATTTCCTATGTATCGAAGGCAAAAACGATGAGATTCGAGATAAAGATGAAAAAATATACCCGAAATTGATCCATATGATATGTTTTTCTGAGGAGTTGTTTGTCATCTGGATTCGCTTCATGGTGTTCAACGTGAGTTTTATAAAGTTCTTCGAGATGTGCGTTGACTTCATGTGACAGTGGTCGAACGCGAGATTTTTTCGTTTCTGTCCACACAACTTTGGATTTACTTAGACTTACATAAAGCAATTCCTCTCGAGTGATATCATTGACAATTGAAAGACCTATATTATGAATGCCGATCTGAACACGTTGACCCATCGATTCAGCTAATGATGGCATCTGTATAGATTTCCCAAGATTATAATTTATCAGGAGTATTTAAGAGGAAAACTTACGCCAGAAGCTGCTTCAATGACTTTTGTATCATCCGAAAAGAGTAGAACAGTTTGAACACCATCGATAAACGTTGTATAACTAACATTATGATCACCGTCTTTGCCGAGAAAGCCACATTGAGGCTAAAACATCATTGACATGAGAAAAACGAATAAGAAATCGATGGAAATGTGTAGAAAATGGATTGAAAAGATCGATATTCAAGGAATGGAACATCATTCTTTCGGGCAATCCGTTCTTCTGTGGGTCACTTTCTTTAGCATGCGAGAAAATTGGATTCCATTCGATTGAATAAACGGAACACAGAGTGAGCATGCGAATTGAGATTCGAACAGAGTACTTTCGAAATGTCTGTCAAGCTCCAGAACCACTGAACTATCATTACTTGATTTCTACAAAAAAATATTTCGTATGTCTCTTACATTCAATTCCATTTGTGTTGTTTTTGAACCACATGAAACAACTAATTGTCTTGGTTTCAAAGGATCCGACCATGTGTAATAAACATAATTTTGTGGTGGTAAGACTTGTGCTCGTCTAAAGCGAAATTTCGGTTATAAAATCGATTAGCACTTCATTTGACTTACACATCATCCACTTGACAAAACGATACTGGATCATTTCTCAAACAATTAACCACGAGGAGTGGAGCATCGCCGATCTTATAGTCACCAAAAATCACTCGAATACCATCGAAATCTGTAGCTGTGACTTCAACATAAATTGCTGGACGCTCTTCATCATTCATACGTAACAAAGTCCGATGTTTTTGATTCATCATAAATGGACTCGACGTTACGCGATTATGTGTATAACGAACACGCATGACACCAGCTTCGATATTGTGTGGCCAAAATGGAATTATCTAAAGCATATTCGAACTCTCAGATAAAAATCAGCAGAAGAGAGATTTTCGTTACTTGTTCAGAGTTAACTGGTCCCCATTTATCCTGTTCTTTGTCGGACACTGTTTCGACAACTTCCACTTCAATCTAGAAACAAAAGAACGAATTGATTTTCATGAAAAATGCCGCAAATCTACCGATGAATTGTTAATTATAACCACCGATGGTGACAAGGTGACAATTTTTGTTAAACCAAATGAACAAGTCACAATATCCACGCACACCTAAAATTCTCTCAAAAACAAAACGTCTTCCATATGCATTCGACACTTACCATATACACTCGATCATTTGGAACTTTACATGATGCCATACCCGTACTTTTAATCACATCTAATGAGAATTTCTCCGACCAATTCGTCGTATTATCGCCTTGTTCAGCACTATAAAGTCGAAGTTGACCCTATGATCGATAATCAGCATACATATTCACTATATTCGATGAAATCGGTTTTACTTTTCGGTTCGCATCGCTATCGAACTTATCTGGGCAGACTAAAAACGGGGTGTGAGATGCTTCGAGAAAAGTACGATTATTTTCGATCTACAAGACGAAGAAGAGCAAGATGGATGTGCAAAATCAATAGTAATAGTTTCTTACTTGAAATTCCAAAGACAATTCTGTACGATTGAGAATCCAAAATGGGGAATACAATAATAAACGATACGATTCATGATATGTATCGATACGTAAAACCATTTTCTAATAAAATCAACCAGAACTTTCATTGAAATATGTTCTTCCTTATTTCTTACCAAAGTTTGTTGCGAATTCGCTGTTGAATTATGAAAGATGACTAAATGTTCATTATGATCACCTTTGCCTTCAACTTTCAAATCAACTGTCTCCGATATCCATTTAATATTATTATACGAAGGAATCTAAAACATTGGCATTAGTTTTCATCCAAACAGACAGCAAATTGTTTACCGTGAAAGTTAATATTGATTGTTTATTTCCCGATGTGATCAGATTCAGCTCACTTGGCTTCAAATCGATTTGTTCGACATCC